TTTATTGATTACCAAAGAGCATTTGATACTGTTTGTAGAGATAAATTATGGAATAAACTGTTACAATCAGGAATTAGCTGTAAAATGACAAATATGATCAAATGTATTTATTTAAAGGTTCAAGCTTGTGTGAAATTGTCAAATAACATGAATATGTCAGACTTCTTTAATGTAACGATAGGTTTAAAGCAGGGAGAACCTTTGTCTCCTCTACTTTTTCTACTTTTCATCAATGATATTTCTGAAAATTTGGATTTTAATGCTTTGACTGAAAGGGACTCTGAACTTTTGTCTAGGTATATGATTTTATTTGCTGATGATATTGTATTATTTACGACAGATCCAAATAGCCTACAGGCTCAAATTAATGCTGTGCAACATTATTCTAAAAAATGGGGTTTGAAAATAAACATTAGTAAAACAAAAATTTGTGTTTTTGAAAAGAGAAAACAAACTGTATATCCTGACTTCTATATAGATAACGAAAAAATTGAAATTGTTGACAATTTTGTTTATCTTGGAATCAAGTTTACTTACACTGGTACTCTTGTAAATGCTGTAAAAGCACTGCATGAGCAAGCTCTTAGGGCGTATAATAATCTTTTAAACGTTTTTGATAATGTTAGTCTAGATATTCGTACCAAGTTATCTCTTTTTGATACTATGATTGTCCCTATATTAACGTATGGATGTGAAGTTTGGGGTGCTTATAATTATAAAGAGGTAGATAAATTACATATTCGATTTTGTAAATATATATTAGGCGTAAAGAAACAAACTCCTACATATGCGGTATATGGTGAACTCGGCCGAGTGCCTCTGTCAGTTATATGTAAAGAAAGAAGCGTTAAATTTTGGTTGAAAATTATGAAAAGTAATGATTTACCTATTTATCAAATGTTTAATGATTTATGTAATAATGTAAGTACCTCTAGTTGGGCTAGTAGAATGAATTCTATTATAGATCATTTAGGTTTTTCAGATATAAGGTTGACATTTGATCCTAGGGTTAATTATTACCTTTTGATAAAATCTAGAATACGAGATCAATTTATTCAAGAATGGAGTTTAAATATTAATTCTATGTCAAAATTAGATTGTTATTGCAAATATAAAACTGAATTTTGTTTTGAAAAGTACTTGGATGTTATATTGAATGATAAGCTAAGGCAGCATTTGACATGCTTGAGATTGTGCTCACATAGTTTAGATATAGAATTAGGAAGATATAATAATATTGAAAAAAAGTAATAGATTGTGCAAACTATGTAACCAAAATGCAGTAGAGTCAGAATATCATTTTGTTATGTGTTGCTCACGTTACAGTAGTATTAGATCGAAATATTTGGGCCAGTGTTCATGGCCAACTTTACAAAAGTTCAATGCATTGATGTCAAATAAAAGTAAAAAATATATGTTTAATCTAGCAAAGTATATAAAAGAAGCATTGTGTTTACGTCAAAATACCCTTGAAAGTTTACCTGTCTTCTGATCGTATATTGTACTTCATTATTTGTCTATGTTAGTTATGTATATAATAGTCTTTGCCATAAGTTTTTTGTTTGTTTGTAAATGGCCAAAGGCAAATGTATTGCTGATTGCCAATAAATAAATGAAATGAAATGAATTAATTTCATTAGACCTCTGGAAAGTAATAAACCAATCAAACTTTGAAGTCATTCAAGCATGTTGATAGATAACGATCTCTGCCAAGCCCCAGGCAGGAGATTAACAACTGGATGACAGCAATAAATGTTTTGATAAGGGAGTACACTACAGCCAATCAAGTTTGAAACTGACAAAAATATACTCCAGCCCAGCTGATAAACGTATCTTTAGGCCGACCTCCCTGAAGCCCGGGCCTGAATCCAACACTGTATCTGGTCAGCAGTTTAATTCTTGCCTAATGTAAAGTACGTTAAATCTGCTGACCAAATAGAATATGAAGTAAATACGCCAAAACACCTAAGCAATTTTTTATTGTATTTGGTCAGCAGTGATTTTATTGTTTTGCGAGATGTAGAATCTGTTTACTAACATTAATAATAAGAAATTCACGGCAAAATATCATTTTTCTCTACATATCTTAATTAGTAAATTAAAAAATTTTGCTAACTATATAGAATAAGAAGAAAATTACCTCATACATAAGTTACGCAGTCTGTATTATATTTTGGCGAGATGTAAAATATGCTATACTTAATAACATTACAGAGAAAATGAAAAATTCAGCGAAAACATCATTTTGCTGTATATATCTAGTTGGTCAGCAGTTTCCATTATAAGTTTAACTGGTCAGCAGATTATCTCAATCTATAAATTTGCTGTTTAAATCAATGAAAATGAAGATTTTTTTGTCTTTATTTTAACAAATTGTAAATGTTTAAGAAACTTGGTATTGTATAATACAACATAAGGTTGATATATATAGATACTTTTAATTCCTCTAATATTGAAGATAAATTGCAGTTTTGTATAATGTCATTTTTGTATGTTCGCACCTCTAATGTGTAAAATAATGGACATACACAGTAAAAAAAATGTTTCTGATTTTTGAAAGAAAAACATGGCGCCCAATTTAACAACTTTATTTTTCAAACAATTGCAATATTTTTGGTATAAAATTATACCTAAGGTACCTTGAGTGTGTCGGGGGCCGCGTCCTGTGAACGTTGCCTTTGCCTTGTTGATCTTTATTCTTGTTTTTTTTTTCATTGATACCAATAGTTCTAGAATTGGTTAACTTTTAAATAATGAAATACAGTACTATTTTGAATTTGGACATCTAAAGAAATAAAAAAGGAAATTTTCCTGAACATTACGAACTGAAAAGCACGGACCGAACAATAACTTTAAAATATGGATTAAAATCGTACTAAAATGGATTTCTAATAAGGTTAAATAATTTCTTTGAAATGGAAAAGAAGAATAATGATATAAATGTAACATTTAGTTAAAGTTGACACATTCAGAATTTGTTCGTTCATTATGTCTTGTTTTGGAACGTTTTTAGTTTTATTGTCATTTTCCTGGTATGCTCTTATATTACAAAAAATTCTTTTACATGTCTAAATAGTTCATCCGGTGTTGCTTCTAATTGTGACACTCTAATTTCAGTCAGATTCAAAATTGTTCACGAATATTCTACTTTTAAATGTGAAATCACCAAACCTGTTCGTCCGCTCTGCATTTCCAAATATATATATTTTTGAAGTAACAATAAAGTTAAATTAATAAAATCCACTGGTAACTGTTTCCGCTCTTTCTTCCAGTCTTATTTTATAAATTGTTTTATATAGAAGTTTCTGACTTACTTCCCAAATCACAAAGCTATATTATCTGTATTATAAGTGCCTGTAAAAAATCAATTTTTTTCATTTTTACATTTACCCGGAATTTTTCAGACTTTGACACGAATGGCTTCTGATGCATTTTCGGGATATCTTAAAATACACGTTAATCCATTTCCCCTAACAGTTTAAGACATTAATTGGTGTTGAATGCTTATCTTTCTTTGAAACTTTCACTGTATACTACATTATGTATGATATAAGCCTTTATAAACGTATAAATTTTTAATTTTGAAATGCTTTATCAGCAAAAGTTTTCTATAAAAATATGCTTCCGAGTTGTATGTTAATAAAAGAGTACGAATATAAGACACTATAGCTGCAAATACGGGTAGAACATGACCATAACTTTTAAGGATATCTCTAATTAATCGGTAAATCTACTTATTAGGGGCTCTTTTCCTGAACTAATTAGCTCAGTACCACACAGCCGTTTACATCTGCCTTACAGTCCGTCTGGCCAAGGTGTTTATGACATGGAGGTCAACGTAGGAATCCAGGTTCCATTTTTACAAATATTTAGTGACATACATTTGACGTAAGCCAGTTACCATTTTTGTATCTAGAGGCCCCGAGCCTGTAGAAAAGAAAAACTTTTATTTCCAATCAAATGGTCATATCACAAATAAATCAGTTATAATAAGTGAGATTAACAATCAAATAAACATGTTTGAGACAGTAATAACAATACACATAAAACAATTTTGTAAACTAATTTGTGCTAAATAAATCTAAGATTACGTGAAACATTAGGCCCCTATATCAATTCACTTAACCACATTTCTACAATAACATCGTTTCGGTAAGTCTTACGTATAATTTTAATATTATTATTTTCTAACATGTTGTTCCGACTGTATTTCTCTATCATACCAATATATCGAAACCAGTTTTATTATAATCTATGTACAATGCGTGACCAAAGTACAAAAAACAAACTTCACTCACGTGATTGTATCAAACGTGGTAATTAATTTAACAGGTATTTTTAAAATGTTTAGGTAGAAAAAACACTAACTATACAGAGAGTATCAATACAGGACTGTGTTCGAGCAGCTGAATGTAATCACCTATATTAATTACTAAAATTTTGCACATAAATTTATGTCACTAAGAACAGATAACTCAAGATATCTTATTTCATTTCAAATTATTTTTTTCTAATTTGATTTTCAGTATGTTTGCAAAGATAAACAAGTTTATCCCATAAAACTTTTTGCTATGATTTATTAAGAAAGCACACTGCATTTTTCTTCAAAAGGGGCATAACTGGCAGAAATAGTGGCATAACTGGGAGAAATTTTCTTCTATCATTTCACATAAGCAACTATAGAATAAAACCTGTCACATAGAATTTAAACAAAGTTTGGACATGGCAAAAATTAAAATAAACACAGATGAATTTGATATTGAATGAAGTATTGCTTTCCACAGTATGGAGGTGACTGTTCTGGAAAATAACCCATAGTGTATAGACAATGTACATAATAATGAGTAGAAATTACAGAAAGTGCTTTCTTAGCTAAATGGTATGAAAATAGCTTGAAAAATGGACTGTGTAAGTATATGTTGTACTACTTGATTAAAATATATTCGTATTTCGCTTAAATCAAACGCGCCACGTTTAAAAAATGATTTTAGTTTCGTATTCCAACGTGGCATTGCGCATGCGTTAGAAGTTTCCGGTGTTTGACTTCCTGTAAAAATGTCCAACATGTCAATGCAACGTCTACTTCTTGTTTTTATTAGCTTTACAACCGTTTCTGGCCTTTATTTTCACATCGGTGAAACAGAAAAGAAATGCTTTATCGAAGAAATTCCAGATGAAACAATGGTTGTGGGTAAGGTTACCTTGAGAAAGAAATAGATTAAAAATATGTGCAACAGTTTCTGAAACATCAACATGTCAAATTAAAAATAAACTTGACAGGTTTAAGCTGTTTTTCCTTTTTCTTGAGACGAGCTATACTATCCTTATTTTCTTTAAAAAGATGGTTGCAAGAAATTTCTTTGTTTACATGGATTGATTTGAAAATTAATTTCAGAGCCAGAAAGACTTGCAACAAAATTCTATTTCTAATTTCTATCATCATGATCATCAGGGCATCTTTCGTCAAAATTGTAAAGGGGCCTGGGCCTGTTCATGTTGCGAGAAAAACATGATATGTCGTAAAGTTGTTAAAAAATAATTTGACATTTTGAAACCGGAAACAGTTTGCGATGAATGTTAAATTATAATTTCAGACCTGTGTAAAATCTGCTTCGAGTCTGTACTTTAACCCAGTAAACATGCGCAAATACCATTAAACTCTATTAAAATTAAACTATATGCGTGTTTTCAATTGGCGAAAATCAAGTTTTACCAGAAGGTAAACAATGAATTTTGAAGACAAAAGTTCAGAAATTTTGTAAAATCTCTTGAAATTGTGATTTTTTTTCAGCCGCTTTGTGAAAAAAGTGCAATTTTTTAATTGTTAAGGGGTCGATGTTTGGCCCTGTAACAGAAGGAAAATTTAATGCTCTGAATGCCTGATCATTGCTGAAACAAGCGGGCAAATGGAATTTGGATGTTTGATTTAACTGTTTATTTTGTATGAAAGAGAATATATATGAATTGTCTTAATTTGTTCTCCAAATTTCAAAGGAAGTGGCTGTGGTGTACTGACCCATATTTCTAGCAAAGAGTCTTACGGCACTTAAAAAGTAAATAGCATGAATAAGTATGCAAATAACTTAAGTGTTTCTGAGAAGAAGACCTTTAAACCAAATATAATGAAAATTGATTTTTTTATCAGTTACTGATTCTGTAATCAAAACCATGATGATTGTTAGGTTTGGGTGACTGTAGTGTGGCTAGAACTTTCGGCTGGCACTGCAGTGATTTTTCTCACTTAATTGGGAAAAGGCCTTAGCCACTTGATTTTGGGGAAAAAATTATCGCTAAAATTGCTAATTTGGGAAGTAAAAAAGCAGGTTTAAGTTCAGATTTTTGTGAAAACTGCATGATTTTAAAGAAAATTTCAATTGGGAAGAGGCCTTTTATCGGAGTCTGTTATATAAGCAGGAAAATCACTGGGCACAGGCAGTACAGGCATCGAAAAATATTTTCAGAGTCACTTGTCCTGCAGGACAAGTAGCTTCTAAATCCAATGTGCAAGCAACAGTTTTCTACAAGTCTTGCATCAAATTCTTTTAAAATCTACTTGTAATTACAAGTGGAATTTTCAATCTCTGCAGTGAGATTCAAATCATACCGCGATATACCTTGCGCAAAACCAACCCTGGATTTCATGATATTTACAGACAGTTCTAATAAATTTAAACTGTTCATAGCTCAGTAGATAGAGCCTCAATACAAAAACAGTTTGCATTTAACTTCAATAAAGCAACACCTTTCAACACCAATCAAAATATTTGCCTCCCACATTGCTCTACAGAGGCTGTATATGTAATGATATATATGTGGTATTATATGATTTTTAATTATTTCTGTCTTTCAGGAAAATATAAGGTTGAGATATTTGACAAAAATGTCAATGATTATGTACCAACAGTTCAAGGTCTTGGAATGCATGTGGAAATTAAAGATACTGATTCAAAAGTTATTCTATCACGGGTAAGCTAGTGCTGAAAGACATGGGAGTGCTGTGGACACATCATGTAGTCTTTACCACACTAATATCTTAGTCCCTATCACTAGCACTTTTTTGAAAGAAATAACATTAGTGAGCTCAGTTTTCTTTTTTTCTTTAAGAGGGTTGTTAGCCTGAACAAGAACAAACAAACCTGTAAAAAATTATTTTTTAGAAAAGGTTACAATGTTATTTCTTTCAAAATAGCGGTCAAACATTGCTTTGTTATATAAAAGTTTTATATTGTATTATTGTATCACAAATTTTCAGGCAACTACAAGGTGCAACTTTATGATTACACTGTAAAGGATTACCTCCCTTCTGCCCCGGGAATTGGCATGCTCGTTGAAATTAAAGACCCGGACGAGCAAGTTATACTGTCTAGAGTGAGTCTTGTTCATTTCCACAGAAATTAAACTTTGAGTTTCTAATGGTGTAGGTGGTCCGTAAAGTTCAATGTTTCTTCCAGAAATGGTGAGAGGTGGCCTATAAATAATTCAATGATAAATTTAAAATTAAATTTATGTTTTTCTTTTAATATTGCCAGTTTTCATTCAACAGCTCTTTGTCTGTCATGACTTTGTAAAATAAATACCCACAGTCTGGTGACAGTTTTCAATTTGTCTATTTATATTCACCATTACCTATTTACCTTTACTGTGCTCAGTATTGTTAGTGTGTTGTCATTTTATTTTGAATTGTTTATTCATTATTTTTAGACAAGAATTCAAGGAATTTCAGTATTGAACCATCATGCAATACTACAATGTTATGAATGTAGACCAACCTAGATCTATTCTAGTGACTAAAACCTGAATTATAGCTAGCAAATTTAATTCCATGAATTAGGAAAGTTTCTATTATATTCCCTGAATGCTGACTGTAATTTACATCCTTAATTAGTAAAAAAAACCACAAATGTCAACTACAGGTATCAAACTTAATTGCAAATGTTTGGTGTAAAATAAGAGGCATAACACCAATAATTTGATATATTATTCTATAAACCATGGTTATGATTGTAATGTTATGTTATTGACTCGAATTTAGTAGAAGAATTCTTCAGATAACCACTGTCTTAGACTCTTAGTTGATGACACATGTCAACTTGCACTATTGCTTTCTCTTTTTGTTTTGAGCATGAAAGTTGATACACACCACTGATGAAGATTTATTTTGAGACAAATACAACATCTGTGTTTTACAACTTAGTACCCAAGTTCACAACTATTTCTATGTATCAGCATCTGGTCTTGTTATTCTTATTGTAGAAGTATTTTGACATTATATTTTAATTTCATTAACCTAAACAATATATTTTTATATGTATAAGTCACGGGGATTATGAGTTATAAAGGCAAAAATTTAAATTATCTAATCATGTATTTACTATTATTTTGGGAATATTTTTTTGCAATTTAAAGATTTTTTCACATTTATGCTATTAGGGTGATGCTGTTACATATAGATATATTGTGAAACTAGAGTTATATGTTTGGTATTGGGTTTGTTTGGTGCATGGGAACGTTTGTATACAATCTCCTCATATCCTACCATCCTCCATATATATACCACATTGTGCTTTACTTCCACTGGTTGACAGTTTTACTGTGTTCAAGAAGTGTAATGCATACAAAAAAAAAATCATTTTTGCAATACTGAAATAAATTTGATACTGAGGGTCAATGCCAAAGATATGTTTAACTGAAAGTACTTAGACAGTATTAGATTTAATTGCAAGCATGCTTAATACACATTTAACTAAAGAGAATTAAGGTTTTAATTAGTGTGATACAATGTACATAATACAAGGCTGAACATGAGGTTTGTTTGTTTGACACATAATTCCCAAAAAGCCTTCTTTTTATCCATTATTGTCATTATATAGTAAATTAGTTTTTATATTTTTAGTTTATCTGCTTCTAATGTTGATATTAGTATAGTAATTAACTAATTTGTAATCATCATATTCTAGTAATTATGTAATAATTTTTCTCACTGCTAATACAGAAATAATGTTTTGATAAATAGTCAGTCAATTGTGGCGAAATCGGTAATTACTGGTTAGTTATCCAGGAAAGTCTGTTAGGCAGATTAGCTGGCGAGAGTTGACCTCAAAGTATTAGTCAGTGATCTCATCAAGGTAACATCACTAATTTGTGTCCACAAGGGAGATAATCACTGAATGATCTAGCTGATAGAAAAAAGGGCAGTTATTAAACTTATTTGCCCTTACATGATATTTAAATACCAGTGAAGTCTTCATTTTCAATTGCTCACATGTCTTAAAAAGTTGAAAATGTTAATATAGTCATAACATCTGTTTTATATCCGGTATTTTACTATTTTACCATTGTAGACATGTATATAGAGGTATAATAAAGTCTATTATTTTATATGATATTTCAGACATATGCCTCAGAAGGAAGATTTACATTTACCTCACACTCTGCAGGTGAACATGTCATTTGTCTACATTCTAACTCCAGTGCCTGGTTCTCTAGTGGACAGTTGGTATGTTTATTCTTATAGTGTTCTCCTTTACTGAAGTTCATTTTACAGCAGAAAGTATTGAATTCCTTAAATGTTGATTTAATACATAACTTTAAGATTATAAATGAGATAGTGCTCCATATCAGACCTGAAGGCACATGGAAAAGAATTCTGACGGAAGCACTAACATACCAAAATCAGTACCACTGGACACTGGTACTGTCCAGAAAGTCATTCAACAAGGAATCTTTCAAATAAACAAGCCTCTTGTATTAATAGATAGATTTACAGATAGAGTGATTGTCATTTCCAATGTTGGCAAATATGAAGTTAAATTTGAATAGATATAGAAGATATCTATACGTGTGCTTAAAATAAGTGATTATTATGCATGTACATGTATTAACACAAATTAGCCATGTTAAACAACATATCAAAGATTACGCTGATTTCTATTTCTTAAAATTTCTAAAAAAAAATAAAAAAATTTAATAATATAAACAATGTATATGTATAGTGTATAAGTACAATATATAGATGTTGTTTTATGATGTTTCAGAGAGTACATTTAGATATCCAGGTCGGTGAACACGCTGTAGATTATCAACAGATTCAAGCGAAGGATAAACTGTCGGAGCTACAGCTTCGCATCAGACAACTGCTAGATCAGGTTGAACAAATAACAAAAGAACAAAATTATCAGAGAGTAAGTTATCATTCCCATTAACACAGATATATCAATAAATAAACAGGAAATACCATTACACCTTTACTTGTACTATCCATGACAGTGTTTAATGTTTGTTTTTTCCGTTATCGGGATTTTGTCCTTGTACTACTCTGTGTCATACTCTAGCTATTATCGAGTATTTATCACATGCCCTAGCCTCTTTGTGACAGAGTAAAAATGGTATTGCATGGCCGTGCATATATTTTGACATGACATCATGAATTTTGTGTTACACAAACATAGCTTAAAAGATATGCTTAGGTGTCAAAGAAAAATTATTCTTTTTCAATTTATTTTGGATATGTAATAAATAGAATATTTTATTTATAAGTGTAGATCAGTTACTGAATTTTCAAAACTATTCAACTCATTCAGTAACCTACACTCATTCAATATTGTCTGTATCTCTTTCAATAAACCAAGTAGTTATTTTGAAGGAATCTGGATATTCTGGTGCCATCTACATCATTCTGTATATCCTGACAGTCAACTAATACTTCATCAAATAATTACTTTAGTTGACTTAATAGGTATTATGAATGACACCTGTTAATAAATCATGTTCTACAACTTTATACTAATGAACATTGCCAGTTTTGTCCACCCTATCAAATATTCCAAGTGTAAATCCACAACTTCCAACCTTTGTTCTCTCTCTATACTTATATATATTGTGCACATGTTGTTTACCCATGCATTGCACATGTTGTGTATTTTCAGTATCGTGAGGAACGTTTCCGACAGACAAGTGAGAGCACTAACCAGCGTGTATTATGGTGGTCAATTGCTCAGACCATCATTCTACTTATCACAGGATTCTGGCAGATGAGACATCTAAAAAGTTTCTTTGAAGCAAAGAAATTAGTATAGGTCTTAGATAGTATAGGATTTAATAATTAATTCATACTGTAATGTCATTGTTTAATTGAGAAATAAGACATGATAGGAGTTGTTAAATCTTCCAGTAAATTAATAAATCAACTTTTGTTCCATGCTTGTTAACTATAAGTTTAAACGATAGGTTAAGTTAAAAAAATTAAATTATGTTATGGTTTTTATGTACAGTGATTGATCAATTGAACAAATTAACAAGAAACCTCCGGGGAATTTTTTAAGCAGATTTTTTTAAAGATGATGAAGAAAGATTTTCATTATATTTAGAAGAAATAAGTTGTAAAAATCAAACCTCGATGTCTGATTGGATGCATGAAATGATTTTACAGTATTTGATATTAGCTAATTTAGTCATAAGGAAATGAATGTGTGAGAAATTCAGGGGAGATAATTGTAAACATATGTACATATAATCATGGTATAACCTGTCAAGATAAAACTTGTTCATGAATTTCTTGAGTGACCTCCCTTTCTTTATACAAATAAAAGTAAAATGTTTGCAATAATGGGGAATTTTGGCCCAAACTTTAAAGAGAAGCAGGGTTCTAGTGGAGAATTCAGTTAGTGCCCCTTGTTAGAATTTTCTTCATCATGTATGTACAGACATATATTTTATTGATACTGTGTGGAGCAGAAATACCAGAAATTATTTGAGTGGTGGTAAGGATTTTAATGGTTAACCTTTTAATAAGTTACAGAACTTAACCTTTAACCTTGTCACTGCTGAATGTGTGTTACAAAGTGGCCCTGTTTCAAATCAGTGGTATTGTATATTTCTTGTTTTAAAAGGACTAAAGTATTAAAATACTGGAATGGCTATATCTCCAAGGTCTTCGTTAATATAGATAGATTTTCATTTATTTATACTGCCAATGCCTGTATATAAATACTGACATTTTGATTATATTGTTCATGTGTAAAAGTATCTAGTAATGAGGAGCTTTTTTGTATAAATCTGATAGGTATATGAGTTTTCATCATTTATAAAAAGTTCATGTTAAATGTATTCACTTATCATCAAAGAAAATAGGATTTTAAATTTCATAATTGGTATGTTAGTATCATATTGTACGTAGACGTGTGGTTTTAAGTTGTCTCCCTTACACTGTTCCCACTTACAATATACTCTTGCATAATTGTTAGATAGAAGATCTAAGCTTTTACCTCTCATCTTTTGTACATTACTACAAAAATATATTCCTAGAATATTTATTAATCCTACCATCAACCAATACTTCACTGATTCATAAAAGCTTTAACTTTATATTACTATGTGAACAGCAGCTGTATTTTTATATTTGTGGATAACTTTTATCATAATCTCAAATGAATGATGTTGAATGTTTTATGATTTAAAGATCTGTTTTATTGTTATATATTAGATCTGTACATGTGACTGTATATTGACATGATTGAGTCGCAGAGCATTATCATATCACTAGAATATAGTTTGTGTAAGATTAAAATCAGTATATCATTCCGTGCATATTTACACAAGCTTTTTGTAGTGCCTTGATGTCTCTAATTAAACGATTGTTGAAAAATAAACTATCATTGCTAGATTTATTTACATATATATATAGATGTGTGCACACAATGTTAGTCCACTACAAGTGTTATAACTGAGGTATATGTAGGTTTGACAGGGTTAAATGTTTATATAAAGTGCATGGTATTAAAGTGCTTATACATCTTGATCATGATAATAATTTTGGTTGCTTGATTTAACATGATTGAATATTACAGACACGGGAGGAAAGGTTCCGCCATACAAGTATCAGCACCAATCAGAGAGTTTTCTGGTGGTCAGTGGGTCAAACTGGAGCACTAATAGTCATTGGTTTGTTGCAAGTTCGACATCTGAAGAAATTTTTTATCTCTAAGAAACTTGTGTGATGCTCATACATAGTTTGTCATTAATTTATGTTTCTAAGTCATTAATTTATAAATCTAAAGTTAATAATATAAGAAATATTTCAGTTAATGTTATAATCTTTGAAAAAGGTTTTCTAAATAAATTGGTGTTTCTTGTTGTAATTAACACATTTTTCCATTAAAAGTGACAGGTTTTTCAAACCATGATTTATATTTTGGCATCTGTTTCCCTTATTTTACTTACTTCTAAAAACTGTTTTTATAACGTGAACAAATGAATAGAAATTTTTATTTAGAATGAACTGGGATTTTGCCATATTTGTACAGGACATGTGTATTTAATAAAAGAAACATGTTGTAACTGTTAAAAGTAAAGTTTGGAAATGGAGTGTATGACAAGTATAAATGTAGGTAGTTGAACTGAGGAGAAGTGAATGTGTTCTAGTGATTTATGAACGTTATTGTACATTGATGTATTTTTTGATGTCACACTATTTTAATTATTGAACACCGCTCAACTATATCAACCTGTATGCAGCTTGTTTGTACAAAATTGACAGTTACCATGGTAACAAATTGTAAATTATTTGGATTTTTTCAGAAGTTCTTTATTCGAACAAAAGGCTAAAGTTTGGTAAATTTATTGAATTAAGAATAAAAATATTTTTGTGACTTATCCATTGTATTATATTGGATTTAAAATATTGGAATTTTATTTTTTTGGTATCTTTAAAATTCTATGAAGATAATTGTATGCATTTATTTTGAAATGCCACTGTCAAGTATAGGGTTGAATTCTGGCTGTTTTTACATTATGTATGGTGGTATGTGAATAAATTTGTACATAGTAACATGTATATTGTTGTTACCGTAGATTTATTTATGGTTAGAGGTGTAATTTTGTGTGTAGTTTTTTTTTGTATATAGATTTAAAACATAATGTTTTTGTGACAGTGACTTGGTTTAACAGATTCAGTTTTGGAAAAGTAAAATAATATTATCTGGTATAAATTAAATAATATCCACTCTGGTAAATACATGTAATTGGCTTAAGTGATGGTAAATATATTAAAATGTAAACATTCATTTATTAACAGTATAGATTCTGGTCAGACTATGTTGAACATAGTATTGTACTTATTACAAATGAAAGTCATTCAATCAATAAAATCCAGAGTGTTAACAAACTTGCTTTTATTTTACTTTTTTTAAAGAATTGTTTCTCTCTTTTTTCTGCATAATGAAAGATTTACCCAGTTTTGACCTTACACAATTCATTTGTAATTTGTTTTTTGAACCACAATTACAACAAAAAATGATTTTACTTTATTTTCTTTTTGTTTTGGAAAATTCTAAGAACTCGATAAAGCGTGAAATACATGTAGATATTACATTAATATAACTTTGAAGTAGATTCTAGTAAACTATTTACATTTTTTTTTTATTAAATATTCTTTTCTATTTCATTCATGATTTTAATGTGTACAAGACAAATGAAATAAAATGGAAAACAATTAAAAATTTATTTGTTCTTATTCTTTATGGTAATGCATTTCCCATTTATTAAAGGTTTATGTATCTAAATGACTGATCACAGTTTTACTGTTAATTTCCTGTAATAGATGTTATCCCGAACTCAGCAAATGTGGGTTTCCCTGCTAATCCATAAGTACAAACAAAGTTACTGTTATAGCTTCACGGTGCACAACCTGTCACAATAATTTAGTTATCCTGTAGAGCATATTTTCGAAACTGTAAATGTTTGTACCAATAGATTAGCTGGAAGTAACCCAAATATTCTTAATTCTGGAGTTAGTCTATTGATAGATCCCTTGTCTGACTTTTATTTGAATAACAATATATTCAGCCACAAACATTAACATGTGCTCTTTTTTGTTAAAAACCTGTTGTGATGAAATTCTTTTTGTATCTACTAAACTGATAATTGGAATTAAACAGGTCAAGGATCTATGCATTGTCATCTTTTCATAGAAATGATTCCTCAATGTCCAATCAGCAACCATGATAATAGACGTTATCCGGGAACTCAACAAATGTGGATTTTTTCAAACTAACTTTTACTGATATAGCTTCATGGTGCACTACCCATTTCAATAGTCAACCTGTTTTGCCATTTTTGAAGCTGTAACTGTAAAGGTTTTTTTGTACCAACAGATTTGCTGGGAAAAACCCAAATATTCTTAATTCTGGAGTTAGTCTTGTTGAGGCTCATAAGTCATGTGTTCAAAACATGGCTGTTTTTTTGGGGGGTGAAGATTGAATGATAACTTTTCTATCAATAAATGAGTATAGAAATTGTTGGACATAGTTTGTGACTATTGCATGGAGCATAAAGCATGTAAAGTATGAAAACATTTTGTTTCGGCACATAAGTAAATTGTAAATCAGTTTGTCCCATCTGATATAACTATAGACATAATCACTACAAAGTTTTAAATTTAGAGAGTTTTGATTTGGCTGTGATATATCCCTGTGATTTATAACTAGTCAGATTTAGACACCTTGCAGTGTATTGTGTAAGTTGCAAGTAACATTTATACCTGCCGCACCAAATACAGATTAATAACATTGGCTTCATTATTTGATGGTGAAGTGGTTATGTTGAGTCTGATGTTCATATGAAATCTATATAGCATTCATATAAAGCATATTGTTATGCTGCAGATCTCTCGTGAGCTTAACTGTAATAAACTTGTTATATCAAATTATTTAACTACAGTAAAGATGTATCTTTGACTTGACTTGACTTAAACACGACAGCTTCAACACAAATATGAATTGTGTATTCTAGACCTTGGAATTACACAAGATTAATAATAAAAAAGAACTTGTGTTTGGAATGGAGCCATCAGTACATGCACTGATATTAATTAAAATATATATCTTTAACCTGCACAAATCAGTTCACTATTCCTGTTTTTAAAGTGCTCTAACGCTTAATAACTGGAACAATTTACATAGTTTATATAATTATATTACCAAGACCATGGACACTGTATTGGTATTTACGTGTAACTGTAAGTCTGTAAAGAACAGGTATAAATTAACTCTTAATGCACAGTGATTTATACTTGACCTTCAACCTCTTCCTGGCTGTTAATCTGTTCAGTGACATGCTGTATTTGTTTAAAATATAATCTCCACCAGTCATGTGTATACTTACATTTATATAATATATAGCAGGTGATAAAATAGTTATATAACAATACAATCAAATACATAAACATGTTTAATGATCACATGTCAGTATATGATAATATTGACAGGTCAAGTTTGAAATTTTATTATTTAAAGTTGATGTAGGATGACAGTATTAAAGTATTGAGGCTTCTGCTTTCTATAAATCTGTCGTCTGTTGAGGTCATTTTATGTTCAAGAACTTGTGTCAAAAGTTCACTGCATCATCAACAGCCAATTGTTACTGTTTGGCTCTATATGATACTAACATTTTACAAGTTATCTTTAACAGATGTAGTTGATGTTAGGGTCATACACCAGGATATTTAAAGGATAATTTTGTCTTATTTTATCTCAGGTCTCATGCACTGGGAATGATAACTTACTTTTACTATATAATGATATTATATACAGTAAGACTACAACATAAATAACAGTATCTCTATACCGGCTACATCAAGATTTATTGTAAAAGATTTAAACTACTGTAAATATATGAAAAGAACATTTTCCATGTACAATATTGTATGAACAGTTAAGTAAAGCTAAAAGGTATATTAAATTTTGGGTAAATATGTATTCATCATAATTTGAGATTCAGACATTAGCACCAAGACAATGTATTTACTGTAACATGTGTGACTGTAAGCTACTGAAACCTTCATAATAATGATTTAACCTTGTAAAGCTAATTAAAAAGATAACTGTCAATTATCAAATGAGATAATTCTTTCAGTGAGTGACCTGAATTTTCTTTTAGCTATTTGTAGGTTTATACTAGATATATACTTAATGTATGTCAACTCTCTGCAGATCTCACTGTATAAACTATTGTTTATGATTATTATGATAACCTAGTATCACATTGTTATATGATAAAAGACTATATTTAGAATTGTTACTAAATAGAATAAAGCCAATATTAAATAGTCTATTGTAAAGCATAACTGGCCAAGGAATAAATATTTAAACTTCAGATTAACAATGCAAAATGGAAATTAATTGGATATTGTGAATTAATGTACAAGGAACTTAAAGGTACTGTGAGCCATTATTATTTTTATCAATCAATTTCACTTGTTTTCTTACCAAATTCATTTTGCCCAAATTAAAAACAAATAAATTAATTGTTTAATATTTTGTCTAAATACCTTACCAGTCCTGCACAAATATGGTGACATTAGTCTTATTCTATACTGGTGACCTAGGTTTTGTTCTATATTGTTGACACAGGTCTTGTTCTAACCTGGTGACATAAGTCTGGTTCTATACTGCTGACATAGGTCTGGTTCTATACTGGTGACATAGGTCTTGTTCTATATTGTTGACATAGGCCTTGTTCTATACTGGTGACATAGGTCTTGTTCTATACTGGTGACATAGGTCTTGTTCTATACTGGTGACATAGGTCTGGTTCTATACTGGTGACATAGGTCTTGTTCTATACATACATCTTGTTCTATACTGGTGACATAGGTCTTGTTCTATACTGGTGACACAGGTCTTGTTATATCCTAGTGACACAGGTCTTGTTCTATACTGGTGACATAGGTCTAATTCTATACTGGTGACATAACTCTTATTCTATACTTGTGACTTAGGTCTTGTTCTATATTAGTGACTTAGGTCTGGTTCTATACTGGTGACATAGGTCTTGTTCTATACTGGTGACATAGGTCTTGTTCTATACTGGTGACATAGGTCTGGTTCTATACTGGTGACATAGGTCTTATTTTATACTAGTGACATATGTCTTGTTCTATACTGGTGACAACTTGTTCTATTTTGGTGACATAGGTCTAGTTCTATACTGGTGACATAAGTCTTGTTCTATACTGGTGACATAGGTCTTGTTCTATACTGGTGACATATGTCTTGTTCTATACTATTTGTTTAGGTCTGGTAATATTTTAATATAAACACAAAAAAACACATAACATTTACACTTTATAATAATTTAAACTCCTTTTATATTTACAGAAATATCATGAAGTTTATTCAAGAGTTCAAGGTCTTATTCTATACTGCTGACATAGGTCTTGTTCTTTACTGTTGACTTAGGTCTGGTTCTATACTGGTGACATAGGTCTTGTTCCATACTGGTGACATAGGTCTGGTTCTATACTGGTGACATAGGTCTTGTTCTATACTGGTGACATAGGTCTTGTTCTATACTGGTGACATAGGTCTTGTTCTATACTGGTGACATAGGTCTGGTTCTATACTGGTGACATAGGTCTTGTTCTATACTGGTGACATAGGTCTTGTTCTATACTGATGACATAGGTCTGGTTCTATACTGATAACATAGGTCTGGTTCTATACTGGTGACATAGGTCTGGTTCTATACTGGTGACATAGGTCTGGTTCTATACTGGTGACATAGGTCTTATTTTATACTGGTGACATAGGTCTGGTTCTATCCTGGTGACAACTTGTTCTATACTGGTGACATAGGTCTAGTTCTATACTGGTGACATAAGTCTTGTTCTATACTGGTGACATAAGTCTTGTTCTATACTGGTGACATAAATCTTGTTCTATACTGGTGACATAGGTCTAGTTCTATACTGGTGACATAAGTCTTGTTCTTAGGTCTGGTTCTATACTGATGACTTAGGTCTGGTTCTATACTGGTGACTTAGGTCTGGTTCTATACTGGTGACATAGGTCTGGTTCTTTACTGTTGACTTAGGTCTGGTTCTTTACTGTTGACTTAGGTCTGGTTCTATACTGATGACATAGGTCTGGTTCTATATACTGATGACATAGGTCTGGTTCTATACTGGTGACATAAGTATGGTTCTATACTGGTGACATAAATCTTGTTCTATACTGGTGACAAAGGTCTTGTTCTATACTGGTGACATAAGTATGGTTCTATACTGGTGACATACATCTTGTTCTATACTGGTGACATAAGTATGGTTCTATACTGGTGACATACATCTTGTTCTATACTGGTGACATAGGTCTTGTTCTATACTGGTGACATAAGTATGGTTCTATACTGGTGACATACATCTTGTTCTATACTGGTGACATAGGTCTTGTTCTATACTGGTGACATAGGTCTTGTTCTATATTTGTTTAGGTCTGGTAATATTTTAAAATAAACACAAGAAGAACACATAACATTAACACTTTATAATAATTTAAACTCCTTTTATATTTACAGAAAATAGCATGAAGTTTATTCAAGAGTTCAACTCTGGGCAGAGATAAAGAAATAACAAAGATTTTAGTTTCTAACATACACCATTAACAATGTCAGAAGAATCAAATCTTCTCATACAGAATAAAGATGAACAGGAAAATGAAAGAAAAATCAAATGGAAATATGTTACAATTATACCTTCAAATTTCTTTATCTTCATAGGAGCCTTTATTTTTAATTATATTATTACTGAATGGACACAGAGCAAAATTCAACATGAAAAATTTCCCAATATGACAAGTAAGAGTAACTTTGCTGCATGTAATGTCACCAACCAGTCTGATCCGGTTTATATCAGCTATAAAGCTGTTCAACATGATACTTCAATATGGATGCTGTATTATTCAGTCGCACAACATATTCCTATGTTTTGGGTCAACACACTTCTTACCAGTTACACAGACACATATGGACGCAAGTTTTTGTTTGTTTTAGCAATGTTTGGAATGTGTGTTAAACACTGTGTAATTACAGTAGTTATATATTTTAACACATCATTATGGTATGTGACAGCTATGTATTCTTTTGATGGTATACTAGGTAGTTCCTATGCTCTCTTTGCCGTGTCATTTTCTTATGTAGCAGATATAACATACAAGGACAATCATCGTGTACTAGGGGTTGTCATTATAGAATCAGTGCTAATGGTTACAGCAGTATGTGGTAGTCTACTGTCAGGATATTTCATTGAAACTTTAGGGTTTGGATTCTTTAACACAGCTGTGATATGCTCAGCTTTAATGCTGCTAGGATTTGCTATTACACTTTTATTTCTTCCAGAGACTTTAAATAAAAACAAACGCAGTCCTCCGAAAAGTTTCCTAGGTACATGGAAGAAAATGATTCAGTTTTACATCAGTGCAGACTTCAGAGGAAAACGAACCCTTTACATTTTATTGTTGGGTTCATTTTTTGTTACTGAAATTGCTATGCTGAACAGAAGTAACATTGAGACATTATATTTCCTCGGTCAGCCATTTTGCTGGGGACCATCTAAGATAGGAGTTTTTGCAACAACTAGGTACGTTGCTCTGGGTGTGGTGGGGCTTGGTTCCTTACCTCTGCTACAAAAATTTCTATCCAATGAGATTATAGCTGTAATAAGTGCTGTGTCTAGTGTAATTTCATTAATTATTGAAGGTTTAGCAAAATCCAACTTGATGATATACCTGGTTCCCGTCACAGGGGCATTTTCATTTGTTATGGTGCCAATTATCCGTGGAATGATGTCAACAATGACGGAACCAGACAAACAAGGTGCCATGTTTTCAAGTGTTGCCACCATTGAAGTTCTCAGTAGTATATCTGCTGCACTGTTGTTAAATGAAATATATGCTGAAACATATTCATTTATGAATGGCTTTGTGTTTCTTGTAATGGCAGGTTTCTGTGTAATAACCTGTATATTGTTATCAGCTGTGTATTATCTTAAAAAATGTAAAAATGGAAATTATGTCAAACCAGTGTATGAAACTGTGAAGGTGATGAACAATCACAATGTAAAGAATGATACTAGAAATAATGTCACATCATGTTAATCTATCCAGTCTAAATCATAAAATATTTACATGTGTACATACTTTATATATTGAAAGATTTACTACTTCTGTGTCGAGGAATTATTAATTATATACTAAAAATATTGGATAATAGTTACAAACATGCATAAGATGGTGCCCTTTGAGGTACCAAAGTTCTTCATTTTTGCAACAAATATTTATCTTTGATAATTATGGCTCTACATTAAAGACAATAACATATACTAAGCCAATCTGTCATGCTTATACATGTAGATGGTTGTTTGCTAAGCCGTGAGCACATGTTCAGATTACAATACAATACAATAACAGTGGCAGCAGAAGTTCTATACCATGTTGCAAGAAAATACGCTTTTTGTGCAATTTTTTTTATCTGTATCATACTACATTAAAGTGATCTGGGAATAACAATTGTTAGGTTTGAAGATTGTTGAACAATTATACTGTTAACATGCATGTATTGGAAGCAATAAAATAAGTTTAAACTATTATTTGTAAAACAACTTTTTATATTGTCAACTACTTTCCTTAGCTGTCCATAGCCTTTAAGCACTTGTGAACTTTCATGATCCCATATGATATATACAAAAGACCAAAATATACTAGTTACTTTGTTGTAATCAAAGCTTTATAGAGTTCCATCTTCATAGTGGTAGTTACAAACAAGAAATGTGTTGTTGTTTTTTTTTGCTAAATCATGGGCCAAACCCAGCTGATCTCAAATGAATTTTGTCAAAATATGGAAGTGCACATGCTGGCAACTAGCTGTTACACTTTCGTGTTCCACAAAAAACAAGTGCTTCTTGTTGCTTAATCAGGAGGCAGAACTCTGTTAACTCCATTAAATTTGCATTCTTACAATTCGCATCTTTTTTTGCAGAATCTTTATCAATTTAAATTGGGTACCATGGTAACTACTAGTATAGTTTTAAATTGAATTACATTGTAATATTGTACAATTTGCCATGTATCATTAGTTCATTATACAATAAACTTCCTACTTCTATTGTCTTTTTGTTGCCATTGTAACCATGTGTAATGAAAAAATATATAATTCTTCACATAAAAATATATTGCAAGTTTGTAACATCGCTTATCATTGGATAATTGTGACATTTATATAACCTATATGCCTTGCCTAGCAGTTTTGCTTATATATGCTAACGAAGTTTATTTTAGGTCATATAACCTTTATAATTAAAAATATGTTTATGATATACTGCCAATATATCATCGAGTATCTTTCAACAATGTATAAAGTACTTTAATAACAGTAATCACAGGGATCTCAGCATGACAAACATAAGCTCCCTCTTATGTTGAATGTTGGGAAATTAAAACAAAAATATAACAATAACAAATATCATATAATTTTGGTAGTGTTTTAATTTCGTTCAATTGTCAACAATTTGTTCTCTGAAGTTCAATACTACTTCAGAGATACAAACATATTTGAAGGCTACACACAGAAAATCATTGATCACAATATCTCCCCAACGACATCCCCTACAGTCGTTTCTCCCCCCAGCAATATCCTTAGATAGCAACAACTGACAATAACATGTGTGTCAGTCGCCTCGTAACAAACAAACGTCATTCTTGATTAACGTTTGCCCTTTACATTAAAATAATAATACATTTCCATGGTAATACATGACATAAAGAAATATCATCAGTGACGAAACGTCTTCTCACTCCCCAAGTATTAAAAACAAGCAGACAAGGTTCCCCCCGTACAGTAGAGTCACCTCACCCCTCGTCCGCTATAACTCCAGCAGCAATCATTGTGCATAATCATGCATTTGTTAAATCATAGTATATGTTATCATCAAACATCAGTACATACCAAGTAACTTTAAAATCACACGGCAGTATTACTCATTTTCATCATATCACTGTTACTACATTACGTGATAAAACAGAATTTTAAAATCATAACTTTAAATGTTACATCTAACACCAGTAGAGAGATATCCAGTGTATATCTGAATTAAAACATGTGAGCCGCATCACGACAAAACCAACATAATGGGTTTGCGACCAGCATAGATCCAGACCAGCCTTCCCATCCGCGCAGTCTGATCAGGATCCATGCTGTTTGCTATCAGTTTCTTTACTTGTTATAGGGTCTGTAAGCGAACAGCATGGATCCTGATCAGACTGCGCAGAGGCGCAGGCTGGTCTGGATCCATGCTGGTCGCAAACCCATTATGTTGGTTTTGACATGACGCGGCTCATGTATAGGTCAGGCTATTTCAGCTTAAATGCACCTTTTATGACAGGTAAAACAACTTCATCACAACACACCCCCATTGCATATCAACCGTGTATAATATTACAACATGTCAGAGTCAAGTACTCCCAGAAGTCTGTAATACTTCCTATTACACAAATACATTGTAAAATACATGCAATATTACAAAAAGAAAATATATATAGTAAAATGTCAGCAAACAGAAATACCTGTGATGTTTTCACTAGGATAAACCCTTATCAAAAACAAAGCAGCCAATATCACCAGTATTTTGTGAATCATTTTACATGAGGTTATGACGAATCACCTCGAGGTCAAACTAGACCACACCTACAAAATAATTTACCAGATATCACCTTAAATCATTATTCAGAACTTCTGTAAGATAAAATATTATCCACTTAGGTATTACAATAGAAATTTCTTTTCAATAATTTTTTCTATAATTAAAACAAGTTTATCAGCATAGCAACATTGACATTTGATTACAACATCACCATAGCAACGATTTTATTATAATTTAAAATAATTTCATTTTACACAAAACTGTCAATGATAAAATACATTACTTATACTACTGTAATGAATTCAAATGCATACAAAAACTTGGAATATACAAAGAACAAAGATTTTAAAGGGGAAAAAAGGTAAAAATAGCATCAGTAAGCTTAAAAATTCATCATAACTTACATTCACTCATAATAAACCTTAGTTCAAATATAACATCATGAAAACAATGAATAATCTTAAATATCTGAATTACCTAACATTATAAAACTTGTCATATCTTTAATTTTACCATTTTTTAAAGTCTTGTCTTGTAAGCTACTGCCTAGCTTACAATGTTAAAGGAAGATCTCAGATGTTACTTGTGCATGTTTTTCAAGTACATGTGGGCACATTGACAGAACACACACATATATTTATATGCTAGACAGGTCTAGTTAATTAACTAACAAAAATTTCTTCATGATTTGTTTGTTTGTTTGGGTTTTACGTCACACCGACACAGTATAGGTCATTTGGCGACGTTCCAGCTTTACTGGTGGAGGAAGACCTCAGGTGCCCTTCCGTGCATTATTTCAGGCACGAACAGGCACCCGAGTAGAACCACCGACGTTCCGTAAGCTAGCTGGATCTTCATGATTTAAATTAAGTTAGGATAAATCAGTGTTCTCATGAAATAATCTAATGTTCAGTATAATATCTGTAAGGTTAGAGAGTGAAGATAAATTATGGTGGATCTTGACTTACTCTGCAGTACGTGAAGCACACATCTACATGTATGCATAGAAAATTTGCTAGATCTTTTTTTTGAATATTACAAGCACTGACAATTCATTATGTTTTCTTCATAAAAGATAATAATAACCTTAAGTTTTAGTGAAATCATGACAACAGAAAAAAAGGAAGTAATGATAAAAAGTGCCGCAATAAGGTACAGTATGTATATGTGTACACAAGTCATCAGTTACAGAGTCCAGACTTTTTCTTCGCAAAGATGTCCTTGATGTTAACATTTACTTGAAGTTTCTCACGTTTAGCCGGCGTTGAGGAGTCAGCACAGAACCTGTATATAACAATTATAAAGTTAGTATCATTATATTGTATATATCACACATGGCTTTAGTCAATTTCTCAATGAATCTAACTGAAAATTAACGCTGAAGTAGTGATAATTTTATTTTGTGAAATATGGCCACCAGCCAATACACATATACAGAATATGCATTTAAATAATATGTGAATGAAAAGACAAGTTCTATAGCTATTATATTCAATCAACAATTTGTGTCTGTTTTAAAATTTTTTAATAAAAAACATTTTTGCTAATACAGGGATTTTCGTTTTTTAAAACATAGTATATATACATATTTGCCCAAGTTTCTTTCAACTGTTAATGTTTTAAAACTTTAAAAAATGGGGAACTTTAATCTTATTTTTAAAAAGAGAGAATAGAAGAACAATGTTCAAAAGCATAAAATTTAATTTTTCCTTTTTTAAAAAGTAGTTTTTTTCCTTGAAATAATTATACTCCCCCTCTTGAATTTTTCATTTTTTCTTTCAAAAATTTATCCATAAACACCCCTTCAATATCAAATTTTTAATTTTTGGGATAAAAAAACCTTTATCTGTAAAAATTTCAATAACAATTTTTAAATTTGTTTTAAATATTTTATTTTAATATATATTTGGCCCAAAAATTTCAGGCATAAACAAGGTACCTTATATAAAACAAGAGCTGTCTGTATGACAGCAGACTCAATGATTCTCTGAGCTTGACAGTAAGAAAAGAGGCCTAACTCAATAAAAAGTAGTTCAAGATTTATGTGATCTGTGCCTTTCATGTAAGATAATCACAGAGAGCAAGTGTGTGAAGTTTCAACCTGTTTTTTCCCCAGTAGTTTTGGAGATACTAACTTGTATACAAAAACTTACGCAAAAACCTTTACTTAAGTGTGACACTGATGCCTGGTTGAGTACAATAGCTCTCCCTATTCTTCAAATAGTTGATGTAACAATACAATAGTTGATGTAACAATACAATAGTTGATGTAACAATACAATATGATGTAACAATACAATAGTTGATGTAACAATACAATAGTTGATGTAACAATACAATAGTTGATGTAACAATACAATATGATGTAACAATACAATAGTTGATGTAACAATACAATAGTTGATGTAACAATACAATAGTTGATGTAACAATACAATATGATGTAACAATACAATAGTCTAAGCAGCACTCTCACATTATAGAAAGAGGGAAATAATAAATAGACAAAAATAAATACAATATGACAACTATTTATGAAGGATCACTGTATCGTGTATATTGTACTTAAATAAAAATATTATAGGTAAATTTCATGCCTTGAAGGTGAATGTCAAGGTTATTTACAGTCAAGTTCTAATTTCAAAGAGTTGTGTCCGAGTCCTAGCTCTATTCAGTAAATATGTTTTGCGACAGACAAGGTAAGAACTTTTCCCCCCAATTAACTTGTAGATTGAAAAGGATAAAATGTTCATATATTTATATATGGTCATCATTTGTACAATAAATTTGACACTACTGAACTTTTCCTGCTCAGTGAAAATGATTAAAGCATTATATAAATATAAAATTTCAGCATATATACTATAAAGTAATGCAATAATAAGGAAAATTGTAAGAACAACTCCTAGTATTTTCAAGTCTTACCAATAAAGTTGATATCTCCTCCACCTTTGTTTTTCCTCTTCACTCTCTTCGTTTTCCCACTGGAATTCTTCCCCTGAAAATGCAAGAACAATTTCTTTATTTATACATTTTTTTTCTAAGGAAAAGCAAGAAACAAATTAATATGTTTACAAATTATTGTAAACTGCATTCATGACTTATTTATCACTTTATTGAATCACAAAGATTAACCCCTTAATGTTAGTGTGTTAATGTTAACATAATATCACCAGTATATATTTAGGCCAGCCTTTACATCTCTGTTTTCTGACCAGACTATAATAATGTTGATTTCATAATTTTATCTTATTGCCATTTCTTTTAATTAACAAGTGACAGTTCAAAAACCAGGCAAGTTCATTAAAATTCATTATTATCAATAATTCAAAATTCACATTGCATTATCAAAATAGTTTGCCAATTATTTAATTTTGTTTTGCTCCAGAACTTATAATCATGAAAAATGATTGCGAAAAAAAATATTTTTATTTCACTGATTTTGTTGTCACTACCTTTCATTTTATCACTCTATATTAAAATTTCAGTATGTAATTAACAAACCTGATCGGAGGGTGGCGACTCCTCGGTCTTTTTAGCAAGATCTTGTTTTCTCTCCATGTTCGGTGTTCTAACATCACCATTCTGTGCCTGACCAGCTGGTGGCTGTCTTATCTGACCTTTACCTGGACTGTTTCTACCATTCTGCTGTATTATAGGATTGGTAGGGCCGGTAACCGGACGGTTAGATACTAAACCTTGTACATGATATTGATTCTGAAGTTGTGGTTGACCTTTCTGACCTGGTTCCGATTGCACCAGATCTGCTGATTTCTTGTTTCTCCGGACCGGTGCTGACTGTGCTTGCATGACTTGGTTTAAACTGTTTTCGTCATTGATTTGTTGTACTGATTTACCGTTGTTTATACGTCTTGGAACATTGTTATTCTGCTCAATCAACCTAGGTGGGTTGGTCATTGGTACAGAATTTGTAGAAGTTTTTACTGTTATTTTTACATTATTCTTTACTGGCTGCACTTGGGGTTTCTCTGAGGCAATCCTTGTTACCATTGGTGGTGTCAGTTGACCTTGGGACGGTTTCTCATTTGGCAGTATCTTGATATTAACTTTCTTCCCTTTGTCATTAGGTACAGACTGTTGTTGTTGTTGACATGTTTGTTGTTGTTGCTGCTGCTGCTGTTGTTGTTGTTGAGCTGCTAGTTGTCTCTGTTTCTTGGCTTCTTGCTGCAGCTTCAGCTGTATAAGCTGCTGAGTTTGCTTCTTCAGCAGTTCTTGCTGCTGACGGGTAATCTGAGCTATATGCTCCGAGTTGATCGTCACAGTATTTGACGTGTCATTCCCCGGTAAATGTGGCGCTTTTATTGGCTCTCTGTTCTTGTTTTGTTTCGCCATGAGGATATTACGATTATCAATGGAGGGCGGAGTACTAATTATATGACCTCCCTGTGTACTGGGACGGCTAGATGGGGCAGTTGTTTTCAGTGGATTCTGACTGGCTAGTATGTTGTTAGTTACTGACTTGGATGAGGATACTGGCTGCGACCCGTGCTCTATCTCACATGTTATGTTCACTTGTAAAGTTGGTAAGTCATCTTTATGTTTACCTTTCTTCTTTAAGTTCTGTATATAAAAATAAATATATCTTATTATGATAATTGCTTAGTCATCTGAGATATATAAATGATTCTCTTCAATTCAGTATTTTGTTATTAGGAAAATAAACTATTATCACTTTATACTTTTTTAATAAACAGGATATGAAAATCACTAATTTACACTTCTAAGTCATTTCATACAATTCATAATATTAATGTAAATAAATGTTCATTCCTATGGCTAATTCTGCTACAATATACTATGTTTAAATTTGTATACAATATACATATTTTTTGTTTGTTAACTTTTATGTCAAATATAAATGACAATTTTTCATCTTAACTCAAGAGGGGAAATGGCAGGTGTCTCTTTATCAGTGATTTGGTAAAATAGAAGACATTGTAATAAATGTAAATGTATTAGTTCTGATCAAGGGCGACTGTCAGCAATTTATTTTTTAACATCATAAAGGTTAAAAATATACATCAAATATATACATCAAATCTGTACCCTAAATGTAAGCTTGTGACCATCATAAACTCTGATTACAATCATTAAATCATTTTAAGCACTTTTAAGTGCTAAAAATTGAGTACCGCTCAAGCCTGTGCTAGGAGGCATGAGAGATGGTGCACTTTTTCATTATCCCTCATATACAGACTCAATCAAACCAAGTCTGCAATTTTCATGTAATTTGTTGTGATTAATGCTTCTGAGGGATCGCTTTTTTTCCAGATTTTTTGAAACAATATTGACAAGATGAAAACATTTAACATAATAACATACCTTATTAACCTCTCCAGAGTTACTATTGAAATTTTTCTCTGTATTATTTGATAGAGCAGGAGGAGGTGTTGGACTGTTACTGGAAGACTTGGCACGTTTAGCTGCTTGTTTACGTTGTTTTTTTGTCATTGCCTCATTTTTCCTCCTCTCAGCCTCCTCTAACTGTCTCCTTTGTTCCTCCTCTAACTTTAACTTTCTCTCACGTTCTTGTTCTTTTCTAACTAGCTCCGCCTCCTGTCGAGCTTTCTCCTCAGCCTGATATATATAAAAACAATTAGGAAATAATATAGGGCTACACCCTCGTGGTATAATTCCTTGCATCTAAACTCCAAAATAATTATTGCTAAATAAAATCACTGTCACAAAACAAATAAATGCTGCATTACCTGACATCAAGCTAAATTAACCCTGATTTGTTTCCATATTTATTTTCATTTTTTAATGGTTACGTCACATGTCTAAATATAGAATGTCAACAGTGATTTTATTGCATAATAACACACACTTTCGGTTCTTCAATGTTCAACATGGAAAAATGCAGGTCGTGTTAGAAGAACTCACAATATCTATACTTGTATTAAATTATAAAGCCACTCCAGATATATAACAGTCTCTAGTTTACTTTATCTTATTTTGTTACCATAATTTATGTGATTCTATTTACGGTAATATATAACTGATGTACTTTATTAAATGAAATAAAAACACGAGGTCCAGCAAACAAACATTTATTGACTTTGATCATTAGAAAATTAAAGGCAGATCATTCATTATTGCTGCCTTATTGAGAATAAAATTGTTTTCTTTCAGCTATTTATTTAAACTCAAACTAATATAAAGCAACTTGAAACTAGTGACTGATGTAAACTTTAAATTGTCATGTAATCAATTTTTATGAAATTGAATATTTTTCATAGAAACAGCTAATTCAGAGATGAATATCCCCTACAATGGTTTAAAGAAAACTTGAAATGCGTCAATAATGACACAAATGTCCAAACATCAATGTTTTGTCCAGCTTGATAGCAGAACAGCACGACAGAGTGACAGACAGACAGACAAGGCAAATCTAAGACAGACAAGGCAAATCTATACAACCCATAATCCTCTAAAGTAGTTGGGGCATAAAACCTCGCAGAAATCACTTTAAACTTAATTTTGATGATTATCTAAGTTTAGCTAATGTATGCATTTGAAAATATTTGAAGTATTTGGAGCTGTGGTGAGTGACGAAACAGTACAAAGACAAACACAATATCCGTGTATTATAATAAGCTTACCTTTCTCTGTTTCTGTCTGGCACGTTTGGCAGCTTTAGCACTCAATGGTTTCTTATCATCCTCCTCAGTTCCATTGATAAACTTTATCAGCTCATCTAATCCCTTTGTTTCTAGCGGGTCCTCTGACTGACTAGGTGGAGGGGTGATGGTCGTGGTGGTGGTCGCAGGTACAAGTACAGGAGCTGGTTTCCCTTGAGGAATATGACCAGTACACTTTAAACTTATAGGTGGTTGCTCACCATCAGGTTTAGTCTCAGTCTGTGAATATAGAGGGGAAAAATAATAAATACACAAGGACACACTTGATGCAGTATAATTCAAGTTACATATATATAAGACTAAATAGTCAGTGTACGTATATATTTCCCTGAAAAAATTGACACCGTATCTTAACAAAAAACAACAAGAACTCATTAAATAACAGAATTTACAAAACAAACACACTAATTTGATTACCTTATTCATACAGACTTTTTTCTATATATAAAGCATGTTATAATTTGCTGTACTTTCTGTTTTAAATATTTAAATAACTAATACCTGAATTGATTTATTATGACATGCTTAGATACATATTTTTAAGTAAAATAAAATAGACAAGTGCTTTCTCAAAATGCTTCACTTAATGATATTACATAACTTTAATGGAGTACTTTTTACCCATTATGATTAAAGTAGCTCAATTATTGTACAATTAACATGTAAAAGCTTTGAAACACAAGTTTAAACAGAGATATAACATTGGTAAGGTGAAAATGAACTATGTTCCTAACATAAGCTCTTTAAATGAGATACATTGCTGCAAAAAAAAAACACACCTAAAAATATATGTATTAATCAGCTATATTTCTTGACTTTTGTTCAACCCCAAACCTGCTAAACTGATGAAATAAAATCTGACCTTTGACTTGCTTTAGAACATATCATTTAAAGTTAACAAGATTACAATATCAAAACAGGGTTTTCACTAGCCATGAAATCCTGAAGGTCATTTTGACTAAGTTTTAACGACTACAAGGCCTAATCCACATGATTATAACAAAATTTGACCCTCCAGCTAAAATCCTGAGGGTAAAATCAGGCCTTTTGGAAATTTGAAGGGTCAAAGAGCCATTTCAAGGGTCAAACGGACACCCTGCAAAATATAAAACTAGAGCTAACAACAGTGCAGTGCAGACTGCCCTGGCATCATAGTGATAGAAAGGCTAATAATTCAGTTCTAGCAGATACAGGGGTTAAACACAGGTAATCTATCAGTTAGCACCTTGTCTATCATGTATTCAAAACTTAATGTATCCTTGTCTTATATAAATTCATCCAATAATTACGCTGAAATATTCAAGAAGAAATTAACAATAAAATCTTTGAATGAGCCTTTCAAAGTATATAACAAGATGAACGTACTTCTACCTTTTTCTTGAGTCGTAATCGCAACTTGTCTCGCATTTCTGCATAGTTCTTACTTGTAGGGGCCACAGGAGGCTAAAAATAAACAAATACATTATACAACATCATATACTATGAATCATTGAAAATTTCACAGATACTCTTAATACATACTCATTTTCATTTAAATATATTGGAATCTGTTAACCTTGTACATGAATAAATGTAGAGTAGTTGTTAATTTGTATTAACATCTGAAAAGGGCATAGTTTAGTCACTTACATAAACTAAATATTAGATTTTTTCTATAAAGTATTAAGTTGGATCAATAATCATATATAATTCTTCTAGTATCTGACATATTCAGATTTATACATTTAATGCATCTCTCATAATAAATACTTGAACTATTAGAATATAATTAGATACATTAAACTTAGCTTAAAGTCACGTCATTGCCCATCTAAGTGTAAATAGTGGGTGAACAGGTCAAACTAAATTAAAACTTCAGATTTTGGCATAATTGTTTTCAATTTTATAGCCTAGTTCACATGTATGATCACTAATCCACTATTGTTAATATTGAATTGGTAAAAAGAGTGTGCCAGTCTTTTTTATACGTTAGGCAGTTGTTATATTTTAAACACTTTTCACTATCAATTTTTGGCCAATGACCATTATAGTAGTAAATCTTTTTAAAATATAACCAATTCTGAATAATTGAGCTTAAAAAAGGAAATATCACTTAAATATTTAAGTCTTAAAAGCCATAAATTAACAAGACTATATCATAATACTCTAGATCTCATGTTATATTGGGCTTTGATAAGAAAACAAATATATTAAAACTTTCTTCAACTTATAATTCCATAGATAAAATATTTCAATCTATCAAAAAACAACCTATAGAATAAAGTATACGATATATACAGATCCCAAAGAATTTACATTTACAACTGATATACTACATGTATATAACTAATATTTCAGAATAAAACTGTTCAAGTTTTAATACACAACAATGTTTTATATAACTTACATTGCCATGACCGAAGAATTCACAGTAGCAACAATCACAATATTTGCCTTCTTTCTGACTCGTAGAATTTGACGTTGATGAACTTTTCTCCGAACAATTATCATCAAAACTGTCGTTGTCATGATTCCCATCACAGTCTGGCTCTGTACAAACAGTTGATGTACCAACGCTAACATTGTTAACCGATGTAGGTAACTGCATGGAATTAGGGCAAGTCCCGGTCCCCCCGGCACCAGTGTGAGGTTCACGCAGGGTACCCTGGTGGTTGGTTAGTTTACTTATGTTGTTATTGTTGCTATTGGCATGTGTACACGTTTGGTTGTTCTGGTTTGACTGTTGTTTGAGAGAATTAGTGTATTGATGAAACATCTGACGACCTTCCTTTGTCTGTAACATCTCCTGCATCTTCAACTGACTGCCAGTGTGATTGTGAGGCATTACCGAGCCTATAATATAACAAATCTTAAAACATCCTATCTTACAATATAAACCTTGTATTCTAACATAAACACACCAGACAAAAAACCTGCCAGACTTGTATAACAAATAACTGGTAGTAAGATAGTAGTCATAAACATATATGATATTCTATATGTTTAAGAATAAAGCAAATTATTTGTCAATCATTAAGTACAGCCTTAAAACCAATATTAAAACTATTTCACAAATGCCATTTAAGAAAGTATGTTTTTATCTACTTTAGAATTAATATCAATTTAGAAACTGACAAGATATTTCATTCTCCTACCTGATTTTGTATTCCCCTGAGTGTTGTTATGTTTCTTACAATGTTGACTGTGCCCTTTCTCAGGAACCTTGGGAGCATTGTTGCCTCCTAGAGTAGCTGGTCTAGAGCATGGTGGATTGTGGTTGGGGATTGGAGCTGGCTGGTTTGAGCACTGATTATGTTTACTAGGCAATTGATCACCCAGGGACTCCTTTGTTGTCAGCACAGAGAGGTTGTCGGTAATTTTTGTTGCTGCCTGAGTGGCCGCCCCTGATGACGAATGATTGGCAAACGTCGATACAAACGCACTCGACGTTGCTGAAGTAGGCAGTGACGATGATGTACTGAACATTCCGGGTATGTTGAGGGGTTCTGTAAGTAGAGTGGAGGTATATGGACTGGAGAATGGAGCAGGAGGTAACAGCTCGCTGTCAAACTTGCCTGACCCCAGCAATAACCGTGGATGATCATATGTTGTATTATCCCAGTCACCATAGGCATGATAAATATGATCATTAATACCTTCAGGACAGTCAAAGTCCACTTTTATAGGCACCTTTGTTTGTTGTATAATTGATTTGTGGCGCTGATTTGGAAGGTGAAGGTCGTACAAGTTTGGTTGTAGAATTGGTCTTACATGTCCGCTTCCCCTACCAAGAGTGTGTAGCCCCGTGGAGCCATGGATATGCGGATAGAGATGTAACTCCCCGGGGCGCGGCACAATAGGGGGGATGTGTTGTGGTAGAGTAGTTGAGATTGCCTTCCCTTGTTGCTGAAGACATACATGACACTGGCATTGGTTGTCCTCAGGTTTGATCTGTAATGTTTAAATATTAGTTCTATGAGAGAGAAAACAACACAAGCATGTTCATTTCAAAACTATGAATTTCATAAATATTTTCTTTTACTCATTAAAGATTACTCTATCATTCATAAAGGATGAACAAACTTATGGTGTCATGTTTGGCAATATTCTTCCCATGACAAGTGTGTGCTTAAATTTCTCTTCAGTTGTGCATTGGCTCTATAAGGTACCTACTTGTAACAGAAAGATCATCGGATCACTAGGCTACCAATTTGTATGTGGGGGATAGTCTACATGTATAAATCAGATTGCAGAGTGTTTTGATGTTCTGTCTTTCTTGTCGTGTAGACAAAAACAAAAACATTTTCCTTGTTGTCTCAATATGAAACCCCAGAAAAAAATGTAATCAATGTACGAGCATTTGACTAAGACTTTTGTATCATTATTCTATTGCCTTTCATCACAATCAGTAAACCCTCCTGTAAATGTAGCCTTTCACCAGTCCACAATCAACAGACAGTGCTGTAACTGGAGTGTAGGTAACTAATACTTGCATGTCAGTTAACACACTGTGCATTTTTGGGTATACGATTCAATTCAGATTTGCAGAAAAAAAAAAAAGATCTCAGAACTATGATACAAGTACAAGGATAGTGCATCTATCAGTTACAGTAAGAAGTTACCATGTGACCTTAACAGTGTCAGCTTAACATAAAGCCACATAAACAGAAATAAATACTAACGTGTTCCAGTTTGGCCTGAGAGACACAATGATCACAGTTACAGCTTTCCACCTTGCCAAACTCCTGTCTTCTCAATTCTTCCTCCAGTGATAGCTGAGGTATACCAGTTATCTCTACCATACCCTGAAATATTTGTGTATATATAAATCTCTACCATACCCTGAAATATTTATTTATGAAATCTCTCTACCATTACATTAAATAAACAACCACATAAAGCCCTTATATAGTGATTATGGGATATAATTATATAATAAACCATGAAATAGTCATGATGACCAATCTTGACCACAGCTGCTCTATCAGATACACTGTAAACTTATAATATGATAGCTATCTTAGCAGAATGGTGGAATCTGTGTTAAGATAAACATACATTAAAAAGGGCTTTGTTTTTTACAATATAATTAGATGATCTATGCATTTGTTCTGAAAATTTACTAAAAGGTTACTTTTGTAGCTCTGGTGACCCTACAAGAAGAGAGCCAAGTTATCTTAAATGAAGCATCTTTAATATACTTCACATAGGTCTGAACTAAATCTGTCCAGAAATTTATATAGATTTGATCACTTGTGATGCATGCCAGATTGTTTACATTATAGTTTGTCCTGAACATACATATGCAATAATGAATGATTTAGATTTTACAACCTATCTACATGACTAGATCATATATAACTGTATTAGAAGTGGGTTATTAAATCAGTGCCGACATACCGTGAGAGGCAGATCATTGATATTTGACTCGTCCTTGTCCGTAGCATCTGCCTCTTCCTCATTGTCAGCATCATCAGCATCATCATCATCTTCATCATCATCAACCCCATCATCATCATCATCTTCATCATTGTCAGATGATTGATTGTCTATCTCTTCCTGTATCTCCTCATTTCTATAACAACCAATAACAACCTTATCATATAACCAACATTTAACAATTACATCAATGTTAATCTAATTGGGGCTATATAAACAGGTTATCTCAACATTGATAGTATAATCATTATAACATGTCATACACATTTGCTGAAATATTTCTTGTATAAGCTAGATAAATAAAATTTCATATGAAATCAGACACAAATTTTGAACTGAGGTATAGGTATATAAAACAAATCAGCAAATACAGGTTGGGATGTAACAAATACCATTTTATTACTATGATAACAAATGTTTAGGATCTTTGGAAAATCTTGTGAAAATAATGTATACAAAACACTGAAACACTGAACCTCTTCTAACTGTTTGCATATATTCTTTTGTTCCCTTAACACAAATTTCATATTTGTTTAAACATTAATTTATCATTTTACATTTTAGGCAAACACTTCTAATATCTAGTAACAACAGGTGAAGGAAGAATATATTTACCTATTACTATCATCAGAGAAAGGCCTTTTGAGATGTTCTACATCAAATATAGGACTAGAAGATCCACTACTAGATGTTGTACTAGACATAGAGGGTGGACTAACGTCTATCCGGTAACGATTAGGGTCATGCATAAAGTTGGCATTATGGTGAGATGTCAGTGGATTGGGGGCTGTAGAACTATCCAGCACGTCTGGGTTGATTATACCACAAGTTATCATGTGAGTTATTGTACATTCATCACAAGGACACCTGAAACAATTTCATATACTATCCATCAAATCTAATTCTAGTTTTATAGTACTTTATATTATTTGTTGATTCCATGTTTTTCCACATTCAATGTTGGAGTAGCGAATCTAATAAAATGTTCTAAATAATTTCTTAATAAATCAAAACACATCATTGAAAAAAGAGGCGTTAAAATCACAACTTTATGAGTTATCTACAAGCATAAACTTATATCAGGCAAATATTTAGAAACAGACTTCTCTTTTATATTTATTTTTGAAGAGAATATTTATGTTATCTTCTGAATGTATTTGGTACTAACAAAATTTGAAGATTTCATGTAAACTGGTCCTTAACAATTTTACCTTTTTCTATTGCATCTTGGACAGGTGAGCTCATCTTGTGATGGTTTGTTACCTTGTAACATCAATCTCATTGTCTCTGTAAACTGAGCTTCCAGACTGTAATTATATCATGTTTACTTTACACACAGATGTTGCCATTCTTTATTTAATATAGGCTACAATCATGTAACTTTACAAAATATGTAGATAACTTTTATATACTTGTAAGGAAATATGTATACTTCATACAGGTCATAGTATAGGTTATATGGTGACTTTCCAGCTTTACCGGTGGAGGAAGACCCGAGTAGAATCACTGACCATCCTAAAGCTAGCTGGGTAGTGTCCTCAAATGAAAGAATCCAAAGTTCCTGTCAAGATTTGAACCCATTGCGGTGAGGGGTAAGTGGTTTGAAGTCAACAACCATAACCACATGGCCACGGACAACCCTAACACTAAGAAGATATATGGGAGAAATATACCAATGTTTTAAGTCACTGCCAAATATTCAAATATTATGAAAGATGTACAGGCTAACTTGCCCATGCGACCACGTGTATTAAGCGACTTTTGTCTTAAACGACCACTTTAAATGCCCCCGATCATTTTCCCTCTATATCTTTAATGTATTAAGCGACTTTTGCTCAACGCGACCAGCGACCGCTAATTAGTCACCTAATTGAGATCAATCTTTTCATTAAACGACCACTTTTACCTGTCAAGTAGTTGTGTTTTTAGAGAACGCCACCTCGTAATGTCACATTTTAGTGTCAACAATCAAAACACAATAAATAAATGTGTGAAAAACTCTATTTCCCACACCGTTTTAGTGTATGCAAATGAAGTTAAGTATACGCTTGACGTGTATTATCCAATAATATCGGATAAACAATGCAACGCTCCGCCTATACTGAGATGGTGTATACGCTTCGCTTGTTGACATTTAGACTGCATCGAATTGACCTTGATCAGCAATTAAATTAATCGTAACAATTAGATGTAGTTTGTTTATTTCAAATGAAAAAATGCACAACAAAATACATCATCACTAATAGCGTTTTCGTGTTGAAGACAAGGAAAAACAATGGAGAAGTTAAAAAATTCTGGAAAAAATGTCAAACATGTACGTAATGGATCAAAACTGTTTTGTCAATAAATATCAGAAATTTATTTTTTACATTTGCATCCATTTAGGTTTTTTTTTCCTAAAAACGGAGCGTACTAATTATTCATAATTTATATAAAAATGAAGTTGAAAAACATTCCTATCGCATAAGAAAGGTGTCATTTATAAATTTTGACTTTAACATCATGCTGTCTTAAGAGACCGTTTCATTTAGCGACCGATTTGGGTGTTTCCCTTGCGCGGTCGCTTAATACATGTTTGACTGTATATCACTAAACATGTAGGTCTTCATATTTGTTTGATAATTCATTTCATCTAAGATTTACCTCCAATCTCATACAAGTTTGTTTCTATAGCTATCTACAAGTTTAACAATCAGGAGGACACTAAGTATAACATTTCAAATTCATTTTTTTAACTTATTTTACCTTTATGTTCACAGTACAGTTACAAAAAGACTACTTAAGCATCATTTGTAAACACAGTTCATAGTAAAAATAACAGGAGATCTTAATCTTAAAACACTGCTTTTTCTTCTCATTTTCTTGCCTGTAATGAACTAATCTCACATAGATGTTACAAATAATTGTCTAGAATTTATAACTATTTTTTAAAATATTAAGAGATGACTTGTCTATCAGTATGCAGATATTTTAGCACTTTATGATTTGTCCCTAATGACTCTGACAAGACAGGTGTTACATTCACTATGTTTTTATTCATTAGAACTAAAAGATGATTGAAACATGAAGACAAGAACTAACTTGTGAGAGAGTGAGGCTTTAGGATTCTTGGACACTTGTTGTTCCAGCAGTTTACGTTGAGTTTTGAAGAATTCCCAGTCTTCTCTTAACATCTTTTGTTTTAACTTTAATGCAGACTGAAAATAAAAACATTGAGAAACATTTATCATGCAGTAAAACAGACATAACATAATCATACTGTTATAAAATATATAGAGAATATTAAATAAGTGTAGGTTCATTACTGAATTTTCTTGAACATGTTGAATAAAATTATTTCACATGAGCCTCTGGCAAGCAAAATATTATTTTATTCAATGAATTCAATAAATTCAGTCATGAATCTGTAGGAGCAGTAGTCCAGTGGTAGGACGCGCGCTTAGGGATCGAGAGGTCCCGGGTTCGAACCCCACTAGGGGCACTGCTAATTTCCTTGAGCAAGAAATGTACCTACGATTGCTTCACTTCACCCAGGTGTAAATGGGTACCTGCGAGGGTGGTATAAATCCGTTGCGCCAAAGTGTCGGCTGCACTAAGCGGAGTTAAAAGACTCCCCAGGGAGATTGATAGATAGATACCAGTAGCCCGATGACCAGGGGTAATAGCTGTAAAGTCGGTGAACGTGCGTAAGCATGAAACTTAGACTATAAAATGCAATTACTTATTACAAGAATATAATATTCTATTTATCACAGACCCAAAATAAAGACTGTTTTCAACTTTTCATTGATACATCTATAGTGTAATCTGACATTCATGTGCTTTACATTATGTATAATGCAAATGATGTCATGTCAAAATATATGTATGGCCGTACATTGCCATAGAGTCGCAAAAGCAGCATGGGTATGTGATAAAACTATATATACTGACCAGGCTCTATGTTCTATATTGTACAAGTATATAATAACTAGTTTATACAAATAGTATATTACTGTAATTAATGTATTTCTCATTAGATCAACTGAAAATCACCTCATATTGTTATAACATAGTAAACTATGGCCTTTATCATAGAATAATGGTTTAACTTGTTAAACTAATGATCTCTCAATTATTATTTTTTTTTAAAGGGACATCAAAAATAATCTTTCCAAGTTAGCTTTTAAGTTTTGAATATGTCACACCACCATTGCAAGTCATAAGGGAACTTTTCAGGAGAAGGAAAACTTGAGTAAAGCCACCTGGAAAGCTTCAATTTAAAGTCCCTGATGTGATTCCATCATACAGAAGTGAGTGGCAAATCAATTATAAGTCAACTGGGCAGGTGTATATATTACATATAGAACAATTACATATACTGTTTTATTACCTGTTCTTCATTGTAAGATTCTATAAGTTGATGACAATCTCTCCAGACAACATTAATTACCGACATCTCATCCTCAAATTTAAGATAACGATGTAACAGATTAGGATATGTGTCTTCTGTATAAGATTCCTTCGAGGCAGCACCCAGTCTGTAACCATAACAATATGAAGTAACCAATTAACAACATTCTGACCAGTGCAGAAATATCACCACTTAATCTAGCAACTGAAATCGCTAAATATCAATTTTGGAAAATAAGACTTTATATCTGATCTTTAATGAACAAAATATCAAACAGTGAACATTTTACTCTGAGTGTATAGACTTCAGCAAAGTATTATATGCTTCTGACAATTGCATAATAGCACCATGGTAAAATATAATGTATATAATTTGATAGGGGTTAAATATATGTTAACAACATATTCTGAACAGTAGTTGAAATCTTGGTGTTTTTTTTCTACAATGCTTGATTCATAAATCTACTAACTTTCGTGTCATTATTTCATAATCCAGATAAATCATACAAAAGCTTACAGTAACAAGAGACCAGTTAGTAGGTAAGATGTGCATCTGATATAACTTTACCTGAGTTGAGAGATGAGCAGATTGAGGCTATTTTTGATGGAAGGTTCCGAGAAAACAATCGACTGAAATAAATGCTTATTGTGAAGGTCCCATGTTACCTTAAATCTCTTCAAGTGATTTTGCTGAAAAATACAAACATTTAATGTGCAAGTTTACAAAGTAAAATAAAACAACCAGCATTTTTAACAAATCAAATACTTTCTTTATGCTTAAAATAAGTCTACAAAAATATTTAATAATCACTGTTGCAATCAAATTTTAAGTCTGAAACAAACATTTGCTCAAACAATACAACTACCAAAATTACATTTCACATTAACTTCATGACTTTGTAATGAATTTGCTTTTGTTTGGCATAATAATACAACTTATTCAAAAACTCAAAATTTTACACAGAAATAAATGATTAAATCTTTAATATCTTACCAATTCTTTCAAAAGACCAGCCATTTTTCTAGCAACTTTGCATAAATGAGCATATTCCTCTAACATTAGAGATATAAATTTCTTTGCTTGTGGAGGGGTCTTGAAACCTGTACTTAATTGTTTAAGCAGTTTCACTTTCATTTCTATCACAAACTCGCGAACCTGTGACTCAAGGCGGAGAAATAATTGATGTGGGTCTCGACTGCACAATCTGTAAAAATATTTTTAGGACTATAAACTATGGGAAATTAACTGAAACAGTGTGAGAAATTTGTCGAAATAAAAAATCTAGACAAATCATTTGAGTTTTGAAGCAGATATAAGCTGACAGTTTCTGCATCTGTCATTTGATATTACAATAAAAACATTATCTCACCTAAAGATAACAGAAAAAAACAGTCCTTCCTAAATCCATAAACAAAGATTAATTCTACTTGTGAACTAGATCTGTGACATGATTATATAGCATATATATATCTAGCTTGTGTACATGAGCTTTCACATGATCATAAAAGCAGAGCTCCAGATAATTTTTCATGCATTTAGTTTTAAACTTATTGATTTTTTCAGCAATTAGTTTTTCCACTAATAGATTTCAAATTCAATCAGTTTTTTTTTTTTTTAACTTTTCAATTAATATTTTTAATTTTTTGTCAGAGGGTCATATTTAATTGGGTACTAGATTTAAAATATAAAGCATTAGTTGAGCACCTACACCGTCGGCAACGAAAGGCCCACTTTTCCATGACTCAAGTAACTTTTCTGTTATGTTTAGTCCACTACATTTTACACTGTTTCTGACTAGAAACGATGACATTTACTATTAAATCCGACTTAATTCCATGTACAGTTTCCTCACTCTAAAGTTTTACAAACTTTAAAGTTTTACAAACTTTACTTTAGCATAAAGTCTGTTTTCTCACTTGTTCCGAAGTCACTTCTACATATTTTTCAAAATGGAGGTCACTGTTAGCACAATACAAAAATGTACATTACGGTTTGCATAAGCCATGTTTAATACTCTATCCAGGGCTACTCATACTGGCTCAAATAAAATAATAGCCAATATTTTTCACTTAAAAAAATAATAGCCAAAAGTTCAGCAGACTATTCACGATTAAGCGATTGACAACATAAGCAGTTGATAAAATACATTACATATAAAACTTTTTTCAGTTTTTTAAGGATTCTCAAATAAACTGATACATTTGTGTATATTGATAACTATTTTTTTCTTACATGGAACCACAACTTTAATTGTTATTATAGAAAGGAATAAAATGTTATATCGTAGAATTACTGTATAACAATAATATAAAAGATTCATTTAAACTTTACATAATGCTTGAATTACATTATTACAGTATTTACAATATAAGGGGCATGTAGACCTACATTGTTTTTTTTCTTGGTATCTGTAAGAATTCCAGGTTGGAATGTGGGATAGGAAACAATATAAGGCTTTCCAGGTGGAATACTTAACACACATTTTCCACTGTTATCATACAATTTCTTTTGTTTGTTCTAATAAAATTTTGCCAGCTATACCACTGTCAATTTCCACATTTCACATAGAACTGGAGTAGGTTATATTAGCCTATAGAAATTACACTTGCAAACTCATTCACAGAATGCAGCCATTTTTTCTGAGTAACTTACTGAAAAATGTCATCATCACCAATGTAATACAAATTTTCTGCCATAATAGTAAAGATTTTTAAACAGAACATAGCTTATGTTCACCTTGAAATAATAATAAAAAATACCAGTGTCGCGAATAATATGTGACAATTGATTTTTTTTCTCTTTTCCAAAGAAATCTTCACAATTTTGGTTGTTGTGCATATATTTGTTTGAAAGTAAATATTTTTTTTAATGTTTTATCATTGTTTTTCACTGGCTATTTAGTCAAGCAGCTTAAAACAAAAAAAATCAAAATTTGCCATTATGGCAATTTTGGTTGGTTAATATCCAGTTTATCAATTTGAAGAAGATGTCTGTGGTTAATTGGTGGATATTTGATGGCTATTATAATATTGGACAATATCTTTAAAGTACTCATACAAATTTACATCTCCCATGTATTTTAACACCTCGGGCAAAAGTAACCAACGTGTGACCAATAAGAAGTTGACACTCGATTAAATCCACCCAGCTGGTGTTAATTGGGTCTGCTGTTTTCTTTATTGATCTCTACACCTTATATAACCACTGTTGGAAGTAAGAAATAATTGCCAGTTTTTGTAGCCAAAATGCAAAAATAATCGCTAATCTTATAAAATTATCGCAAATGGTGACCATGGCGACTAACAGCATGAGCCCTTCTCTATCACTGTGACAAAATATACCACAGTAAATGGTATGATCCGAAAACTGTTTAACTGATTTTGAATCGATTAAATGAAAGCCAATTTGTTTTTGAAGGACAGCATTTGAAATTTAATATGTTTTTTTGGTGAAAACTCATTTCATTTTAACAAATAGATGATGGTTATCTGGATGTCTGTAAAGGACATATAATCTTACTTGTGAACTAGATCTGTGACATGATCATCAGCAGGTACTCTGTTAGTATTGAGCTCATCTGTATTAATATCGTCACGGTTACTATATAAACATCGTACAACCTTTCGTAACTCTGTCCAATACTGTTGTAATGCTGCAGTCTCTAACTCATGTTCCGATTCTATCATTCTATAATATACATTAATTCATGTAGGAAATTACTAGAGTGAAATAACAGTAGAAGTACAGAATAAAGTACAATCATACAGACTGATCAGGATCCATGCCGTTCGCTATCAGTTTCTCTACTTGTAAAAGGGTAGGTAAGCGAACAGCATGGATCCTGATCAGACTGCGCGAATGCGCAGGCTGGTCTGGATCCATGCTGGTCGCAAACACATTATGTTGGTTGTGTCATGACGCGGCTCATATTAGATTCAATCTTGATATAAAATCATACCAAAGTACCTAAATATAAATAACAGTATTTGTAAATATCAATTAAAGCAAGTGGTACATGCACTAAATCAATGTGTAACCTATATAAAATATAACAGTTCAATATTTTGCAACAGATTATTTTATACAGTTTTCTTGTATAATTAATGTGTGTTGAATAACAAAGACACTTTTTTTGGGATAAAATTCTGTCTTAATAGAAACATTAGACTATATACACAAAATTTGAATTTTTTATAGTTTATTTTACACCCTTATATCTGTTGCAACCATAACTTATTATATATTGCTTACAATAAATTAATTCATATATATAAGTTTGATCATACTAAATTCTTAACACAACTGCAAAATATTATCATATCAGAAAATTAATTTCTAAATTATAAGGATCAAACGTTTATGCCCATGCAAACATGTTAATGTAATACATGTGTTTAATCTGTGTATCAATTTTCTGGCATTTTCTACATGATTTGTAAAGCTCTATATTCATCAAGCAGTGTTAACATGTTTAATTTGTACATTTACTCATTTTATGTCATTACTTATTTCAATGATTTCAAGGCTATTATATTAAGCAGCAGGCAGTAAATATATAGTCATACCACAGGTTATAAATGATAAGCATGCTTAACTTGCTATTGATCCAATTATTTCATATAAACTGAGGGTGTGGTTAAATAAGTAAAGTCAACATGCAAATGGAATGATTTTAGAACCATGGATAAGAAATGAAATAAAGGTGATCAAAATTTATTACATATACCGTCTCTCCGTACAAGCATCACAGGTACAAATACTGCCGTTTGGCGTAGTTGGCTCCGAGCCAGATTTTATACTGATATCTGGTAGAAATGATTCCCCATCTGTGTCCTGGACAAAGACAGAAACATTATAACATATAATCAAACAATTATCACAACATTGACCTGTCAATATTGTCTCAATAGTTCTGTGATAGTTCTCTAGGAAACAAATTGGGGAGAAAAGGTATAAGCATTTTGCTTGAGGTACTTGATAAAATTTGAATGACACATCACTGTTTGATAACCAGACAATTAACAAACTCATCAGGTATTCAGGGTTTTAAACTAACAGCAGTGATTCATACTGTATCAACATAGGCCCCGCCTTGCTTCAACATAGAGGCCCCACATTGCTTCAACATAGAGGCCCCGCATTGCTTCAACATAGAGGCCCCGCATTGCTTCAACATAGAGGCCCCGCATTGCTTCAACATAGAGGCACCACGCTGCTGTTCTATACTTAAAAACATCTGTGTCTACAGTGAGTAATTCTGTTATATATCATTGTCTAGCAAATAAATTTTTCACAAGCAGTGAATTTTACATTCACATTATATTATAAAATTAAGTAGCTTTTTAATGCTTAAACAATTTCAAACATTCTGGTTAAAGTAATATTTACCAAGAATTGTTCTAGGGAAGGTTTCTTCTCCATCTCTTGGTCAGCAGCTTTCCTACATGATGGACATACCCACAGAGGTAACTGTAAAATTAACATACATTTATATGCTACATGATCGACAAACCCACAGTGGTAACTGTAAAATAAACATACATTTATATCCTACATGATGGACAAACCACAGTGGTTAGTGTAAAATAAACATACATTTATATCCTACATGATGGACAAACCACAGTGGTAACTGTAAAATAAACATACATTTATATCCTACATGATGGACATACCCACAGAGGTAACTGTAAAATAAACATACATTTATATCCTACATGATGGACATACCGACAGTGGTAAGTGTACAATAAACATACATTTATATCCTACATGATGGACATACCCACAGTGGTAACTGTAAAATAAACATAACATTTATATCCTACATGATGGACATACCCACAGTGGTAACTGTACAATAAACATACATTTATTTCCTACATGATGGACAAAACCACAGTGGTAACTGTAAAATATAACATTACATTTATATCCTACATGATGGACAAACCACAGTGGTTACTGTAAAAAAACATACATTTATTATCCTACATGATGGACAAAACCACAGTGGTAACTGTAAAATAAACATACATTTATATCCTACATGATGGACATACCCACAGAGGTAACTGTAAAATAAACATACATTTATATCCTACATGATGGACATACCCACAGTGGTAACTGTACAATAAACATACATTTATATCCTACATGATGGACAAACCACAGTGGTAACTGTAAAATAAACATACATTTATATCCTACATGATGGACATACCCACAGAGGTAACTGTAAAATAAACATACATTTATATCCTACATGATGGACATACCCACAGTGGTAACTGTACAATAAACATACATTTATATCCTACATGATGGACATACCCACAGTGGTAACTGTAAAATAAACATACATTTATATCCTACATGATGGACATACCCACAGTGGTAACTGTAAAATAAACATAACATTTATATCCTACATGATGGACATACCCACAGTGGTAACTGTACAATAAACATACATTTATTTCCTACATGATGGACAAACCACAGTGGTAACTGTAAAATAAACATACATTTATATCCTACATGATGGACAAACCACAGTGGTTACTGTAAAATAAACATACATTTATATCCTACATGATGGACAAACCACAGTGGTAACTGTAAAATAAACATACATTTATATCCTACATGATGGACATACCCACAGAGGTAACTGTAAAATAAACATACATTTATATCCTACATGATGGACATACCCACAGTGGTAACTGTAAAATAAACATACATTTATATCCTACATGATGGACATACCCACAGTGGTAACTGTAAATTGAACATATATTTACTATAGCCGGATTATCTTGAGCTTATTAATGGAATAATTTATTGTAACTTCTATTTATCTATCCAAACATTAATCTACACTCTTGTCATTTGAAACATTAGAGAACCAACCATCAAATCCTGGCAGAGATCTAAACAATTATATCATTCTGTTTTAATGGATAAGAGTTTGGATTTGTTTTATTGTGGAGTTGAAACAGAACACTATGTTTAATACAAAGATACTAAATTTTGCATTAACAGTAAAGAAAAAGTTTGGTGTGACGGCCCAACTGTATACTGATGGCAAAAGTTTGCCTATTGTTGCAACTAAGCTCTCACAAGATTGCATTGTTGTGTAAGTTTATTCCAGTATACATTCCAAGCAAATTGGGAGTAGAAATGTTTATTATAACCGAAGAAGTATACAGGAGTATAAGATAATAGTTGCAGTATTTACCTGTGCAAGAGGATTATTCTCTAGTGACTGGTTATCTGGAGAATCTGAAAATACATTTAACATCTTCTATACTCTCACTTCAATATATACATACAAATACTATACTCAATTATTACCCAGATAAAAAAATAACAAACAACAAATAACAGTTGATTGCTAAAAACTGAAAACAAACTTTTTCCCCCATTCACCTGTAAGCTATGTATTACTCTGGTATTAGTTGGAAGATGTTTGGCAAGAAAGTTACAGGTATAGTAAATCATATTATCATTTATCATAATCAATGGATTCCCTCATATATTATTGCCCTGTAATAGTTACTTATATAATATATTCTTATTGTGTTTAAACAATACAATATCTTTAACCATCTATAAAGGTAGTGTCAATACATGAAAGGACCTTTAAATTACTGAAGAGAGAAACATTAAAATACAATATTACTGGCACAATTCACAGTCAGTGAAGCTTGTGAGCAGATCTGGCAAATTGTATGATACAGGAGATTGCAATTGATTTACCATTTACTTAAACTTCCAACTTTTCAGTAAAATGCAGTAAATTATCATACAGACTATTACAAACCAATCTTGACAATAAATCCACAAAATCTTATCAGACTTTCAACAATCTCATACTTAAAATACCTAAAATGCTGGTTAAAGGGTCAGATTTAAACAGACCAATACTAAAATAATGTTGAGGATTTGTTTGGTTATTCGGCGCACCAACACAGAATAAGTCATATGGTGCCGAAACAGGAAAGATGAAGCAACATTTGGGGTCAAAACCACCTCACCTGCTGGAGCCAAGAGATGCATAGATTTCAATTATTCGAACCTATTTAGTTGCCACTTACGATCACATAGGGATAAATGTGCTGCAATTCTTATGCCTCAACCATGAAAGGCAACCCCTAAGCCACAATGGCCTAATGTTGATAAAAATCTGTTTGTCCAAATGAAAAAAAAACAAAAACTTGTATCCTGACAGTAATATCTATAGGGGTTCTAAAGTTATAATTATATCTTTTCATATTTTAACTCAAAAATGTTTTTGAATACTGGATTACATAATTATGAACATATGATTTCCTGCATATAAATATTCAGTTACGTTTAAACATATTTATTTAAGCTTGATTGCAAAACAAGATTTGCAATTTGATATTAATCACTTTCTAGTACGCTTCCTGGAACTAACCAGTACTTGTGTCATATAAGAAATCATGATCGTGACCCAAAAATAGGGCTGGAACCCATGATTCCTGGGTTGAGTTGCAGACACCTTGACCCCTCGGCTACCGCGCCCCTTACAATATCTAAACAGGAAAACTAATGCTCAATAGCTTGATAATGAATGGTTCATTCAACTTGAGATGTATATTACTTGTAACATAAATACTTATTCTGTCAGATTTACACATCCCCATCTACATGAAAAATATAATTATGAGTCTTTTGGTGATTATGCTGAAAAATTTAACATCATGTTCATGCAGTAGAGTGTCACTGAGGAATTAGTAAAACATTATCACTATGAGATCTTGGGCAAGAATTTACCAGATTTGAGTGCCTCAGCTTCTGGTGGGTCTGTTCTCTCACAGTTACAGAGAAGACAGCGTTCACGGTCTAGGAATGGATTTGATCCTCGAGGAAATAACAACATCTTGAGGGCACTCTCCTCATCATGTGCATCCATTGTCTTCTCTAGGTTCTTAAAAGCCTGAAATATACAACATACATATATATCTTAATAGTTATTGTCAACATTTTAAATATGTTGGTTCCGTATTCATTTTTCTTACAAATGTGAAAACAATGAACTTGCATTTATTTAACAAACTTTTTTATTTCCATATGACTAAGCAGATTGAGCTTAAGGACATTTTAAACAGAATATATAATTATATTGCTCTTCAAACATTGTACAAAGTATTCTCTTTGTCAACTCCTCATTTACAGTCCTGTATTGTTGACTTTACTCAGCTCAAAGATCAACGTGTAATATGTTATATACCGTATAAGTGGTTTTTTCTGCGGTGACTTTATTTCTGCGTTTTCTGCGGTCAGTTTCAGCACCGCAGAAATAAAAACCGCAGAATATTTCTATAACCTGCTACGATATGTGTCCTGCATTATGACAAGTTTCGTATGCAGTAATAACGACTAACGGATTATTACATAAAGCGGGTTTTCAAGTTGTATCAAATTGCTGTCGGCTAAGTATGTAATTTGTGTTTGTAAGGATGTACTTAATGTAAATTATCCTCATTTAAGAATAAAGATATTTCAAACCAAATCAAGCCTTATACTGCTAAATAATCGTCGTATACTTTAATTGTCATCTGATTAACGGTCAACTGCTATCAACTGTTTAATTATTGAATTAAAGAAACTACCGGGTTATATTTTTCACACGTCATTTCACTATGATCAAAAGCTGCATGCCTTTCTATTGTCGCGCATAATATTTGTTTGCAAGCAAACAGTATATTTGTTTATGATTAACATATAGTTTTGCGATGACGAAGCTTAACAAATGCGTACGTGCGAACAAATAGGTAGAGAAATGGGACTTAGACGAGTCGCAGAATTTAAATCGCGTTTTGTCCAAAGAATGTGCCGCAGAAATAAAGTCCGCAGAAATAAAAACATGCCAAAATTTGGAAAAACCGCAGAATTTGGAGCCCGCAGAAAAAAACACTTATACGGTATAATATAACATGGTATACTTAATAAACAATGACTTCCATAATATCTCAATGTATTGACATGAACAAATCATGACAACATTAAGTCAGTGATAATGTTTCACACTTCTCTCTTCTTATAGAAAACCATTTAGTGAAAATATCATTTAGTGAAAATATGAACAGCTGGTGAAATACCGACAATATGATGCTGAGTTGTTTTATCATATTTATCTTATTATACATGTATATAATTTCCCATGCTGAGCTTGATGTACATGACTTGTGTATCTTATAAATCTTGTTTTATCTCTTCTTGGTAAAAAACAATAGCACTCATGTTGTCTACTATAATCAGTATATATGTAATTTATAATAATATACAAATTTATTTAATTTTACCCATGAAATATGGTGCTATATCAGTCAAATATATTTCATATTTTTTTAAATAAATATGAAATATAAATATGAAAGTGGGCGGAGTCGAAACTCATAATTATCTTAAGGGACTTCTTTCGCCATTTTGTTTGAAAAATCTGAGAAATACAAAACAACTTTTTGTTCAATTTTGTTTTGAAAACTATCCAGAATGATAGGAAATGGTCTAACTAAGAAAATAAATCCGAACACCAATATCTTTAATTCAGTTATAAACGCTGCACAGACGTTTAAAGAGTTGTTTATGTGACGTCACAATGTAGCGCCAAATATCGCGTGCAAAACAAGACGCAATAATATATTACTGCGCGCTGTACAGTTGCAGTTGCGTAGCAAGCAATTGGGTTCGTAACCATTTTTCATTGATAATGAAATTAAATAAAAAGGTTATTTTTTCGTTTTTCATGAAATATGGTATATATTTTCACTCAACATGATAAAATGCCACATATTTTCACTCGCCGTCCCGGCTCGTGAAAATATGTGGCATTTTATAATGTTTCGTGAAAATATATTCCATATTTCACTCAAACGAAAAAATATCCTCTTAATATTGTACGAGGATGAGGTGAATATACAAGTCTATTATTATTCACTGAGGCTTCTCTGTGTTATAACATGAAAGTTGTCTTTTCATTCGAAAAAAAAATGCTTAAACATTACATATAATGTACTAAACACATATATTTATGGCATTTACCAATTGCAAACTTATAAGGATTAAAGTCACATTATGCCAGGTGTTCTGATGTAACATTAAAATAACTTAATATTTTGCCATATTTGTTTTCAACTTTATAATAAGCATCATCTGAGTAATCAATACATAAATATCTATAATATCTTTCATAAATTATTGGTAATGTTCAATTTATGAAAACGGTGGGGCAATCTTTTTGTATTTCAGGCAGTTTTCATATTTCATTGTAAATATCTGTAATTATCAATTATTGTTCAATTGCCATTAAAATAGTTAATCTATTATAACTAATTTATCTTAGACTGACAGTGAAAAAATATGCATTATAGTCTGTCCCATCAAATTTGAACATTCCATTTTTTATTTAATATAATAGTAAAATCATTTAAATTAATGTCATGTTAACCCTGACATCAATATCTCTAGGCATGTTTTTCATTTTTTTCATAAAGTCATTAATAAGGTCGAAATGTTAAAATTATATTTTTCCCCGTTGACTTACGTTGTAACCTGACGTGACGTCCATTTCAAAATGGCGGCGCCCATATAGACGTCATTTAGGGTTCGTCTCACAATTAGCGTGAAATGTACTCGGTAATTATACAAAAAATGATTATTCTTAATTACTTACTGATCAATAGCTAAATGTTCTCATTAAAATGAAAAATGAAAACAAAGTTGGTGTCAAAAAAGACAATTTTACTAGCAAACCATTATTTAAAATAATCAAAATCATTTGAAGTGAAAATATCAGTAACCGCTTTATTAATTCTAACACACAAATATTTCTATAATTACCATGACATACTGTCGTATTTTATACTGTCGTATTTTTATATTCTTTTTAAGAGAAAAAGAACAATGAAGTGATTTGATTAGATAGCTTTTCAATCAAGCGCGTATCTTGAATACCGCAACGCGTCGAAGGGGAGCGGGAACACTAGCTAGAAGACTATAAAATGGTTATTCGCTAATTAATGTTTAATTTACATAATTCTGTAGTTGTCTGAATTCTGTCCATTAATATGTGTCACGTCTATTCAAAAATAATTAGAATTGACCAGGTTCGATGAGATACAAAAATATGTTACCCTTCTTATTTCGGGTGCGATGTTCGTGTGCTAAACCTTTCCTTCACAAGAAATCGCCAACAAATAATACATTATCATGCAAATCTGACAAGAAATATATAGAAAAGAGAACTGATTCACTATACGTTCAGCATTGGTTTGCTTGTTACCACAGTGTCTACTTTAACTTACCCCCTCGCTAACGAGAGAACACAGACTCGCGTCCGAGGAAATTGTAAATTATAAGAATATAATATCACGCTTTCTAGTTTGAGCAATCAAACGTAGGCCTATACACTTTAAGCTCGTAAATACAGATTTATCTTTCCGTCTCACAATTCAACAAAATGTCCAGAAATACCGGCAGTGATTTGATATTATTAAAAATAAGTTTGAATTGGAGTGTTCAATAAGCGACAATAAGTGCGGTTTTTATTGCAGACTCAAAGTGTTACATATAATTATTATGTTAATATGAAGGGGAGGTCGAGTCAAAGAGAACCTCAATAATTTTAGCCTTCCTAAAATTTGAAAAGATTCAGTGAAAAAACAATAGATCTAGCATATTTTTCGCGGCAGAAAAAAAAACGCGTATTGTATATTTTGTAACTTAAAGAGTAGGATTTACAGAAGTCTTTAATAATAAGGGATAATATGTAGGGAAATCATTTCTGAGAAATATATAAAATAGTTTAAAAACATAAAATCAAAACGAATGTTATATGTAATTAATGGAAGAAGTATTGTACTGTTATAGATTCATGTCATTAAGTGAGTTTAAAAATATTTAAATGTTATCGAAAGTTTTATTATTAATATATGAATTGAAGGTGTAATTTTTACAGTTAAGTTGCAAAATTTGGGTCTACAAAAATTATTTAAAATGCAATCAAGGCATATTTATCTCAACGCTTGAAATTATTTGTTTGAGGTTACATTGGCCTAACCGCCCTCTGTCAATGCCGCAACTGGAAGCGCGAGGCATTTTTGTTACGTCATATATTTCGTAAATTGTTGTTGACGTAATAAAGTTTTTTTCGTCAGGAATCCATTTTCAAGAGTTATAAACATTGTGATGTTAACAACTAAAATTGATGGGCCGTTCTTGAATTATGGATTTGGAACATGCTGAATTATGATGTGTTTCATTTACATATTTCATTTGCTAACCCAGATAACTCCACAAATTTAACAATGTTTTAATAAAGAGACGGATTAACAGTTTAAAAAATCTGGATCATCATAAGTGTAGGAGTCATGTCATTCAGGAGTTTTGAAGCTACGGAACTGGATAGAAACTTGCAATGAAGGAATCTTCAGAATGCGAATTTGTGGTGACGTTCATATAAAGATATATTTCGAAATTCATAGGGATTCTATTCAGCTTAAAAGTAAGTGCAATTTCTTTTCCTACTCCGTGTGACTCGGTGTTTTTGTGTTGCTTATTTTTCATTTTTTTTAAAGTTTTCCATCATGCATTGCAACTAAACTGTTACATCTTGTAGATCCAGCTTTGTAAAATAATCATGAAACGACCCCGAGAACCTCATGTATATTTTAGAAACATAACACGTGCTTTCTCCCGTTCATCTTCAAATGAAGAGTACTTCGGCAATGGCTACGGAAAATAAACAACAGAGATTTGCCATAGAGAAATCAAAATTTGCTTTCACAAGAAAAGTAGACACTTTAGAGAAAAATCCTGAAAAATCTCGAGGGTGACTTTTTTTTAGTTTACCAAAATAGTTTAATTTTTATTTAACCTCGTTTTGTTAATTCACACGAGGCAAAAGTTCATTTCCATTTTTAATGGGACAGACTA